ATGTTAATGCTCCTGGACATGTTTTTTTATACGCGCACTCAGGAAGGAATTTTAATATTTTATTGCTTCCAGTTAAGGAAAACAAATCTGCAATCTGTATTTGTTTACAAGCATTGCCCATTTCTTTTGTAGTTCTAATTCAATGCAACCAAAAGCACAAGATTTGAATGAATTCATGTGACAGCTTTGTCTCTTTCCCTTGTGTATATTTCTTTGAAGTTTATACGTTTACTTCCTGTTTGGACATTTGCTGCAGATATGACACTGACACTGACACTTTGCAGCTGATGTCATTTAATATTCTCAGGAAATATGACGCTAACTGAAAGTACTGCCCTGTTAGAAGCTTTGTTGCTCAAGTTAGACTTTAATCTGATCTTTATTTTAACACAATCTGACCAGAAAGAACTGACTTAACTGAAAGTACAAAAGGTGAGCTGATACATGCTGTTAAACAAGTCTCTTTTTGTTGAAAATCAAACCCCTAAACAGGACCGTGAAAGCTCGGACTGACCACAGGCTCCTGAAAATGTGCTGTTTAAATCCATTTGGAGTTTTCAGACACGTCCAGCTTTTTCGGCCGTGTTTGCTAATGTGTGCGGTGTGTCGTCGCCATGGTAACTGCTGAACATTTGGCCCATAGCGATTCATGTAGAGCAGCACTAGGTAATTCCCTAACTTTGACCCGTAGAACTATGATAATTAAAATCTGAAGCTGAACCCAAAATGGAATTGTATTGCTTTCAGTGGCCTGTGCTTATTGGCTCATGGGCCCCAAGATAATTTTCCTTCCGCATTTACTTCCTCAGTACGGGAAAGCTCCTCCCACTCATGTGACGTCTGTAACGTGCACAGCATGGAGCGTTTTCACCAGTCAGTTTTGTTTGTTTTGATGAAAGTTTATGTCGTGAAAATGGAAAAGAATCCCTACAACGTCTGACCTTTGTGAAAGTTGTGGATGCCCTGTTTGAATTCCTCAAAAATGCATTGCGTTCTGTGGGAGAATTGTTTCTGGGCCCAAGCTCTCGGGGCTGCAGTACCTGGAGCGGCCACTAGTGGATCTCGAGCTGGGACAGAGGGGGAGGGGCTTATCCAGTTTTTGTTATCGATCCATGGTCTTACCTACCAACTAAAATGCTAACAGGATCAGGGTCAAAGCTTGTTTAATTTACAGTGTTGTGACCCCAGGCCTCCAGCTCTGACTTGTTTTGTGTGTGTTTTAACCCTGCATCCGATTATCCTTCCGAGTCAGTTTTCTGAGGAAGTTGCCCAGCGACACACCCCTTTTCCTGGGACGCCGCAACTCGGAACTTGGTGGCAGAAAAAGTCGACCGAGCAAGGATTCCGAGTCCAAAGCCAAGCTGGCTCCGCCCATTGTGACGTGTAAATATGAAGTGTTTTCATTGTGTTTGGACACTTTAAATGACAGTTTCAGTCACTCGTATCACTGCAGTACTTCACCGTGTCCGTATCACTGCCTGTGGGTTTAGTAGTCAGTGTTGTGGTGAGGCTACACATTACTTTTCGAGTCCGCCACGCAAAACATAATAATTTGGTTCAAATCTGAGGTCCAAGTGGGAGTCGGAAGATAATCGAACACACGGGTAATTTTTCTTGTCCCTGTGGATTCCTGCTGTGAGATCCCTGGTCCCTGATTGGTGGTGGTGCACTTCTACACGTGGCCAATCGTCCGTCACCTCCAGCCTCCTCCCCTATTTAACTTGATTCTCCACACCTGTTCTGTTGCTGGCCTGTGTGGCCCGTCTGCTGTTTTGTGTCTTTCAGTGTATCTCTTTGGTGTCAGTCAATTGTTTTTGTAGTAGTTTTTGTTGTCTGACTTTGTTTGTGTTGAGACACTTGTTTAGGACCTGTTTACACAAGAACGCTTTTGGGTAAAAATGACAAAATATTTTATTGGAAGTGCCTTTTGTTTAGACGGTGACAGTGTTTTTGGGGCTTAAAAACGCAACAGTCTGAAACCACCCTCCAGAGTGGAAAAGTTGAATACGCTCCGCTGTAGTATTTCTGTCTACACTGCCCAAGACACAAAACTCTGGTCAGATCTGCTCAGGTCACGTACACATTTACGACACATACATCAAATTCTACACACTTTTGCGCCAGCTTATGCACTCAGATTTCCTCCCGAAAACGCTCATCTAAACATGGAATAATAAGTGAAGACGCGACGTCACTTTTGCGTCTTCTGTTCAGACCCTCATCATATAAACGTAGCCTTAGTTTAGTTCTGTTTTGTGCCCTTTTATTTTGTCACTCAATTCTGTTTGTGGGTTTATGTGGTTTTACTTTAGGGCACTTGTGTTTTAGTTTTGTTGTGTGCCCCTTAGTTTAATCACTCGTTTTTGTATAGACCTGCGTTTTTGGCACAGAACTCGTTATGTGTTAATCTTGTTATTGTTTCTTAGTTTAGGTTATTTTCTGTACATGTTTTAGCCTGTTTTTGTTAATTTACCTTTTACATTCCTGTTAATTAAACATTACTTAATTTATTCCATTCTCCACCTTATTTTATTCATTTTTTTGTTACTTCCCTGACCCTAGCGAGTTGGGTCGTAACACACAGTAGTTACGATAAGACTGATAAAAAATAAATGTCAACACCATTATTTTGTTAAATGACCTGCCAGAAAATGTTGACATATGTTCAAGTATTTCATTTATGACCTCACCACTACTTCCTGTACTTTTCTTCTTTACTGTTTTTCCACAAACTGCAGCTTAACTGATGTAAAACTATGATAGTGACCACAGGTACTATCCCACCAAAAAAAGAATTAGAAAAATATATACCGGTATGTCATATTTTAAGCTGCATTGCGTAACTTTTCTTGTTTTTGTGGATACATGTCATTACTCTGCCTGGAATGTTCCACAGTTTGACATTAAACAGCTCTTTATTCAATTACAGGTGGTTTTACAGCTCAAAAATACTTATAAAAACAGGCATTCTGACTGTGACCGCGGTTGTCTCTCCACAGATCTGGAAAAAAAGCATTTGACGGACCCTCCACCAGAAAAGTTACACAATGCATCTTTAAGTTTAAGTTTTCCATTTTCAGTTTTTGGTGATTTGGGTAACTTCTCGGTTTTAAAGAATGCCAAACATCTGTATAAAAGAAGAAAATTAGAGCCTTTAGAAAAGCTTGAGTATAATTTTTGGAGGTTATTTGGCAGGGCCCTGCTGTGTCGCCCGATGATTCAGAAAACTGCGGCGCATTTTTCACTTCTGTCTCATCGTGCCTGGTTTTATTCATGTTGAAAATGAAATTAAATCGTAGTCTGTGCTTTGAATACGTCTTGGTCAAGGGTACATCCATTTCTTAAACATCTCATATTACACAAAAAGGAATAATGTGAGCTTTAAGCCATGTTATAATGCTGTTACCTCAACAAAAACACGCCCAGAGTTGTGCCGTTTCATTCACACGTGTTTGAGTAACTGTTTATTATTAGTAAATCTACATCGACAAAGCTCAGAATGTCTATTTAGTTGTTTCCTCATCAAAAACATTCCTGGAGTTGTTTTGTTTTGTTATTTAAATCACTGCGGCCTTTGTGATAATTTGATAATTGCGTGAGAAAACTGAAACAGCGATTTTGATTCAGTGGTACTGGTATTGTGCTTCCCTAAAACACAGGGCAGTAGAGGGGGGCAAAGGGGTCTGTTGGCCCAGGCTCCAGGGTTTTGGGGCCCAAAATTGGTGTTTTTCAGACTCTAGAATGTGATTTTGGTCATTCTCCCAGATGAGGGGCAAGAGACAGATTTTCCTATAAATTACATTGTACTTTATTTTGAAATACCTAAAAAGTAAATGCACAAATGTAGGGCTGGGTATCATTAAGAATTGCTGATATGATACATTCATTGATACATATGTAGGTCATGATATGATACAAATCTCCATACAGTGAGCTGTTGATTCTGTGTGATTTGAGATGTTATATTTCAAATTGATTTGATATGTTTCAATAAAACATAAAGGCTAAATCATGGCTGTGATACTAAAAGTCTTTGTTAAACCACTGCAAAGTTATTATGAATATGTCAAATGTGTTGCATAAACAAGTTTCCATCCTCTTGTAACAAAACAAATTTGTAAAAACTACCCAGAAATACTCATGGTGATATATTGATACAGCAGCCCGAGATATCAATACTGTATCATCATATTAAACGATACAATAGATCGATATTTCACTATTTTTGCACACCCCTACCATGGATCTCCCACACATGGGTGTATTCTCCCACAGAGCGCAATGCATTTTTGGTGAAATCAAACTGCCCGTATTGAGCTTTCTTAAAGGTCGGATTTTGTAGGGATTCTTCTGTATTCTTACAATGTGAATTTTAAAACACTTTTAACGCGCCTAAAATTCAGCTTTGTAAGAGAGAGCCTAGGCCCGTTTTGAGCTCTAGCAGCTCTCACTCTGAGTTGTCAGAACTGCACGTTTCTGCCATCAAACGTTTTGCAGCGTAAGGCCGGAATTCAGGAAGTAACGCGGAAGTAAAAATCTTTTTTGGGCCCATGCATCAATGAGTACAGGCCTTTGAAAACAATATGACACCATCTTGGATTCATGTTCCAGATTATATTATAGTTCTATGACCCCTACACAAATGTTGAATCTGCTAATTTCCTTGAGTGATTAGACTCAATAACCCACTGTACGACAACTAAAACCTGTATTCTGATCATTTTAGTTTTAGCTGCACTCCCATCTGTATTAAATAAGATCACCCCATAGAATGTTGTGATCTCATCTCAAACACAACAACTGGACCCTCTTCCTATAAATTTATATCAGAGCGGAGCCCATGTGAAGGTTCTTGCCCCGGGGCCCCCAAATATCTGTCAGTGGGCCTGTTAATACATACCTTAATTAAAATGTGTCTTTGTTTATCCTATTCAGTGTTTTACCTTTGGCAAAGTAGCACACTGTATTGTCTAATATGTGTTATTTCTGTGTGATTTCAGGCACACGACCCCAGAGAAGTTCTACATTGAGGCGTGTGATGAAGGCGCAGATGCCGTACTCGCTATCGACAGGGTCTCCAACGAGATGACCCTGACAGGTGACTCACCGCTCCACTCCACACAACATCAAAACAACATAAGATCAGACTTGGTACAGAAATGCATGGTGTACGTAGAACTATGCATGCAATAGCCTTTAATATAGACCAAAGCTTGTTTTTTTTATTTTTTTTATTTTGGCGGTTTATTGTACTAAAAAAACGTACTGTGAGTGAGCTTGCGTCTTCACAAACCTGACTCTTACTTGACCTGGAGGAAGGCGTCTATCTGCTCTTCTACATGGAATTGTTTGGCTGTAAACCCGCCAAGGCCAACTTTGTTTTAGTTTTTATAAACCTTTATTCATATTGCTTATTTTTCTGTCATATACACCATTTATTTAAGTTATATGAACTGTTGCAAATGGAACAAACTGTGTTCCAATAAGACTGAAAAATGTATATATAAAGTATATTATTAAGTTGTATAATAAAATGTGTTTTCTTTTTGTTCCAGGGAGAAACAATGTCCCTCCCTCAACAGTGACCCGGCCCATCTGTGGCATCATGGGCACCATCCGACTGGTGGCAGGTACTGTTCTGTTCTGTTCTGCGTGTACTCGTGTGTAATTCTGTGTAGAGGTGGAAGATACTAGCCTGATTCATCTGACCTCGCAGCATTAGGATTCGTTCGCTCGACAGTAGGCAGGGACTTTTTTATTTAACCAGTCACTAGAATTTGGTCGTGATGAATGTAATGCACAAAATCCCGTAGGAAGAAGGGTAATAACGTCTTTCCCCTTGATAAAATTCACCAAACATTCTCTTTGTTCCGGCTTTAAATCCTCGATCTCGGGAATCGTTGCCAACACAGAATGTCTGTCTTCATCTACATCCATCTCGACGCTTTGTTTACTGTTGTGCTGTTCCACAAAAGAGACAGACAGACGCGACGAGTTTGACGTCATGACTTCACAGCTCTTCTCTGATTGGTCTTTGCACGGTCTACAACTTCCGGGATTCTTGCAAAACGTCTAGTCTAGTGTATTCTGATTTCTGACCTAGTCGCTGGAGAGAAATGAAATTGAATGGAGGCGCTAGGGAGATACACTATATCGAGAATGAATATTACAGTTGTTCTTCTGGAGATCTGAAAACTTTGAATAATGAGTATATCGACTATAAAAACTATTAAAATTGTCACAAAAAATTAACAAATCATCCAGTCTAACGAGCATAAAGGGATATGTCTGCATTTTTGTGCTTAGTTTTATGGTCTATTCATGTTATTTGATACTTGAACCTCGGCCAAGGTACATTTTATCACATCAGGAGTGTGAAGAACTGTTAAAATATACATATATTTTTTTTATTATCTCAATATCGCCCACCCGTACTTGTGCATACTTAAGTGTACTTGGGTGTGCTTGACTGTGCTTGTAAGTACTTTTAAGTACGTGTAGTCCTTGTGAATACTTATGCGTACTTGTGTGTACTTGTGAGTCTGACCCCGTGTGTGTCTCTGTGTGTGTTTCAGGGATGTACCTGATCGTCATCACCAGGAAGAAGAACATCGGGAGTCTGATGGGTCACGCCGTGTGGAAGGCCGTGGACTTCGACATCATCTCCTACAAGAAGACCGTGCTCCATCTGTCGGAAATACAGGTCAGGAAACACCAACAGCAAAAGGGACTCAAAAACGCTGTACCTGATTTTTACCGTCTTAAACAAACAACAACTAGCATGCTAACAATAAAACACTGTATAATTGGATGCAAACAGTACACAGCTGACGTATTTTGACCTTTACTTTTAAGTAGGAAGCAGCGGTCCAAACTTATTCCTCATTTACTTTATGGATTGTGAGCATTCACTGCTATGTGGTTGCTCAATTTCCGTACTATTAATACATTTTCTAATTGATCATTGCATTTATATAACGCCTTTCAAGATACCAAAGCGGTTTACAGTTCATTATTCATTCGCTCCACACTCAGTGATGGTAAACTACTATTGTAGCCACAGCTGCCCTGGGGCAGACTGACAGAAGCGAAGCTGCCAATCTGCACCATCGGCCCCTCCGACCACCACCATCTCTCACGCAGACACCATTTTCATACTATTGAGCGCACCTGAATATAAGCCGTATCAACAAAAAATACATTTGCACGTATATAGTCTGCACTTGTCTATAAGCCGCAGGTGTCCACGTAACTTGAGATATTTACACAGACAGATGGTACACAGAAAGATTTATTTATTTTTATTAAATACCTGTACAAGCTTGAATAGTGCCTGTAACATGGCAGTAAAACGACAGGATTACGACAGAATTATCAGACTACGTGACTTGGCGCTCTACTGTACTGTGCGTGTCTCCTGCAGAAAGAGTCTCTGTCCTGTCTGTATCATGTCAGTGTCTTGTAAGATTTCAGCAGATTTCAGACTCTCCCGGGGGCAGGGGTAGTTTTATCAGTCAGGTGTGAGTGGATGTCCGGCTACTGAAGTTTGAGACATTTCTTCTCGTCATTTACACACTCACCTGCATTTAACACATACAGGTCATTAAGTCGTGTCCCACTCACTAATGTTCATTTAACATCAGAACTTATTTTTTCCACATGGTGATAAACTGTTTTTATGTGCTGACGTATAGTAGTACATAGTGTTGTAGTCAAGACCGTACTAATCAAGACCAAGACTAGTCTGAGACCACAGGGTCCCGAGACCAGGACAAGACCAAGACCTCTGAGGGTCGAGATCAAGACGAGAACGAGACCGAGACTTTGAAAGGCTGAGACCGAGACGAGACCGAGACAAGACCAAGACTTTTAAAGGCTGAGACCAAGACGAGACCAAGACAGGACCGAGACTTTTAAAGGCTGAAACTGAGATGAGACCGAGACAAAACCGAGACTTTTAAAGGCTGAAACCGAGACAAGACAGAGACCACGGCCCATCAAGACCAAATCAAGACCATCTTTGTAATTTTCCACATTAATTTGTACTGTACAGTTATTTTGGCACTTATGTATTGATGTTTTTATAAATCTATCTCCATTTTATCACTAGTTGAGTGTCAGACCTGAGACCGAGACAAGATCGAGTCCAAACACCTACAAGACAGAGACGAGTCCAAATGCGGTCGAGTCTGAGATGAGACTAAAACCACAAAAGAAAACTGTCTCAAGGCCAAGACCGGTCTCGAGTACGACGACACTTGTAGTACGTTATGCAGTATTAACGTACATCAATTAGACACTGGAATTCTCACTGATCGTGGTATAAACCGTTTTAATGAATCATAAAAACATTAAAAGTTTTATGATATTAGATGTTTTACAGAACCTTGATTGGCCTCATTATTTGTTTTAAAATCGAAACATTTTTCATTTTTGACAGAGGAGATTAAACTGAAAAACCCACAGCTGCACCTGCACCCTCCATTACTCTATTCTTAGGCATGATGGAAGTCAAAACTAATCTTTTTCCATTTGTGCTTAGGGGAGAACATTTGGTCCAAAATGGCTGACTCACTCTTCTGCTCATAATTATCTTTTCTATTTTTGCCCGGATCATTTCTGTGTGACACCGACAGGGAGCCATCACTGAACAGTTTGAGTTTTGAATCCTCTGAGGTCTGAGGCTGGTCTGGTCTAACCTAAACTCGCTCCTCTCAGGTTACAGACCGGGATCACGCTGCGTAGTTTTACTGGAGTCTGTGTGTGCACTATTAACCCGGTAATTGGAAGACTGAAGAATATTTTATTTTATTGATTTATTTATTTATTTAAAAGAAGGACAGTGCACACAAAACATTAAACTCAGAGAGAAAAGATGCTCTGTGCCAGATTTAGCTACAAACTCCTTTCCATCTACAGTCCTTGGGCAAGTACAAAATACATTAATTAAAGAAACTATTTATATTAGACCAACTCTAACAACAACATTTCATCAGTTACAGTGTCTCCTTAAAATAACCACATTCCAATTCATCATTAAACTTTTGAAACAATCAAGATTCATTCATTCTAATTTCCATAAATACAAGATTTCAGATTCATCATTATCTTCTAAAAATACTCAAATTCATTGTGATTAAAATCCTCTAAAATGTACCAAATTCATCAGTATTATTTTCCTCTAAAATACAATTCAACAACAACAACATGACCATCAGGACCATGGATGGGCAATTATTTTTTCCCTGGGGCCACATGAGAAACAGAAAATATTGTGGAGGGACGGGCCATAATGCCTAACTCAATTCTGCATAATTATAATTGTATTTCTTTAAAAAAAAAAAAACAGTAAATATTGTTTTGACGAGCTGCTCAGATTGGGAAGAGTTTATGTTATGACTAAGCAATGAAAAAGTGAGGTTGCGAACAAAAAATGTCATTAGAAAAACACCTCTAAAATAAAATGCCGCTTTAGTTGATGCATGAGGTAAAATTATAAAATATGTTTATTTTGTAATGCCAAATTAGATTAAACGAGTCGGTCAGAGTCGACCAAAGGGAGCTGTACAATGCCCAGGTCTGATCAAGACAAATGTCATTAGTCAAACACAACACATTTACATCTACACAGTACATCTGTTGTACAATCAATCAGAATGTTTAAATGTTTGACAAAGCCTAATGTTGACGCCTGCTGCTCAGAAGACATTGTAACTGACAGAAAACAAAGAGTGGGTACACTTAGACTGCCAGGAGAGGGAAAAAAACCCAAAACAAACCTAGGATACTTGAATAACCTTATAATTAGATCTGATTTTGGTCTGTATTTACATGTACAGAAACAAATCTGCTCGTGAAAAAGACAAATGGTGAAGGAGCACTATGTAACTTTCCGGTTGTGGGTCTGTCACCTGCTTGTTTCTATGGAGATGTCATTGTTCTGCCTGGAATGTTCCACAGTGTGACATTAAACAGCTCTACCTTACATTTATTCAATTACAGGTGGTTTTATAGCTCAAAAATACCAAGAAAAACAAACATTCTGACTGTGAGCCACATATCTGACCTGTAATTTGGTCTGGTTTGGTCTCCGTGAAGATAGAAAGGTTTAATGCCATACTGTGAAACATTCCAGACAAAGTAACTCCACCAGAAAAAGTTACACAGGTGCTGTACCTGATTTTTACTATTTTAAAAACAGGAAAAAATGAACTAGTTCATTTGTAAAAGGTGCAGTGGTCCAAAGTTATTTCTCACTTACTTCAGAGACCAGAGGGGAGTTTTGCGTTCATTGTAAAGCTAAGAAGAACTAGCATGCTAACAGCACAGTTCCTGATTGTCTGACAATAAAACTCTTGATAATTTGATGCAAACAGTACACAGCAGACTTATTTTGACCTCAAGAGCTGCTTTTACAATATATCTGTAAATTTTTAAAGTAAATGTCGGATTTCAAAAACAAAGTAGAATGGATTTTAAAATAATTCTTTCAATCTTCAACATTTTCTTTAATTTTTGTCTTTTCTTTTCACATAATTTCTCTTGTCAACACCTTTACAAATGTGATCAGTCAGAGAGACGTCCGAGAACTCACATCAGATGCACCTGTTGACGTGACATTCCGATAATCTGATCAGCGCAGAAATCAGATCATGATCAGATTTTTGGTGCGCGCGTAAACATAGCCAACGTGAGGTTCGAGGGCTTACGCTGGCTTTATGCACTGGGTTAACTGGCTTACACTCATCCTATTAGCGCTGGAGAGAGGTACAAAGCTCAAAAATCACGCCAAGTGTTTTGAGACTGAAAGGACCAACTGCAACAAAGGCCAGAACATTAACTGACATAAAACTTGCCATGTTTATGTGAGCTTTAATTCCGAATAAAAATTTGTTCCACTTTAAAAAGACCATGTAAACACTTAATTCCTAACGAAAATGATTATTCAGAATTAAACTTACTGTATTTTCCGGACTATTAGACGTGCTCTTAAGCCTCCAACCCCATCAAAAAACGACTGCGTGCCCCACAATCCAGAGCGCCCTATACACGAATCCACTCGGGTGTCCCAGCACGACTTCAGTAAACTACAAACACACACCACCCACAGAACACGCAAACACACACAGAGCAGACAGCGACCGCACAGCGAAAAACACCCACAGACACACTCATCACTCAGAACGGAGGAACGAACCGAAAAAGCGAGCGCAATGTGCCACTTCTAGACACGACTGAACAACTGAGTCACTGCGAACACGCCGACAATCCGTTGGTCCCAGACAGCACCCTCCCTACACGCCACAACTGAACAAAGCCCAGTCACCGTGAATGCCACAAACAAACAAAACCACTCACCCATCACACTGTTGTGTTTCATTTAAAGTCTGGTGCGGTTTATTTGTGAAAAAAGTTCAAAAATAGACCATTTAATGACAGTGCGCCTTATAATCCAGAAAATACGGTAATTCCAAAGTGGTGAAGTGGGTGGTTTATTCCGATTTTAAAGCTGAATTAATTTATTCCTCGATCATGTAAACGTTTATTCTTCTTAAAAATAATCCTGGTCATTCAGCACATGCTCGTTGTGTTGCCCTTCTGACGTGATCCGGACGATCCGGCTCCACCAGTCCCGTCTTCGGACTGTCATCCACGTCTCTTTGGATTTGTGAGCGGGATGTGGGAGTGGGCTGAGGTAGAGCAGCCGTTGACTCAGTTTGTCTTCTTCCTCCCTTCTCCGACACTCTTCCCTTCTCCTCCTCAGCCGACGGACGTAAAGTGCGATGAGAGAATTCTCCCGCTGCTGCGCAATTATCATCGGAACCACTGCGGAAACAGTTTGGATCGTGTTTGTGTCCGTGGAGTAAAGACAAACCGAGATGACAAAAAAGTCAGTAGCAGCTGAAGTGTGTGTTTTCTTCCGGTCGATGTAAATACGTTCGTGTCTCTGTCCAATCAAAACCCTTCCTGACCTCCAGACGTTAAGCAGAATTAAATAAAGAAGATTTAACGTGTGTTCCATGTAAACCTCAATTCAGTATTATTATTTTCATGTAAACTCAAAGGAGAATATTTAAATCAGAACAATTAATTCTGAATAAAAGAACATCATGTGAACGTGCTCAAAATCCTACTTAAAGACCCTGTATGCATTGTCTTGTCTCTCTCACAGATATATTGTATAAGCAGCTCTTTAGATCTGCTGTGTACTGCCAACATCCAATTATGAAGTGCGCTGTTAGCATGCTAGTTGTTTTTTCGCTTTACCGTGATGACAAACCTCTGCTCTGGTGTCTGAAAGTTGTCTCATAAGAGTGAAAAATTAGCTCTTGAGGTCAAAATAAGTCTGCTGTGAACTCTGTGCATCTAATTATGAAGTGCGCGGTTTGCATGCTAGTTGTTTTTAGCTTTACCGTGACGACAAAACTCTGATCTAATGTCTGAAAGTTATGTAGAATGCATAAGGTAAGCGAGGAATAACTCTGGACCACTGCATTTCATGTTTTTAAAACAGTAAAAATCAGGTACAGCGACTTTTAAAGAGTTGTTTTTGGAAAATATTTGGAGATTTTCATTTGGTTTAGTTTAGTTTCTACTAGTAGTGATGTGATAATTGATGGATAAAGTTTCATTGTTTCTTATGCAATTTTCAAAGTCTGGAATGACAGGCACATTCTTATTTACAGTAAGTACTTCTCATTGTACTGAATCCTTTTCCTGGAGAGTGTACGTCAAAACCCTGTCCATTCAAAATATTTGTACATATAATTTACCAAAAATACATTCCACATTGTTTAAACGGACAGTGGTTTTGGTCAGTCCTGGCCCTAGTTCCTGACCTTGTGTTTCCCGTGTACGTTTCATAGTTTACAAACCAGTTTAAAGCTACAGTACCAGATTTGTAGTGTCTTAAAAACGTAAAAAGTGGTCCAAAGTCATTCCTATTACCTTATACATTCTGAGCACAAGTACTTTTCACAACTCTCAATCAGTTCATCCTGCGTATTGCACAACACGCATTAATTGGATACAGACAGCACACAGCAGACGTATTTTGACCTCAAGAGTTGCTTATACAATATATCTGTTCCACTGATTCCAAACAAAATCTAAAGCTGTTTTAAAAGGTACTGCTGAAAGTTGACTGGTACTAGTCTTGGATCTTCATTATTGGTCATTGGTTATATTAATCTAAAATTTCTGCACACGTATATTAAGGCTACAACTACAACCAAGTGATGTATAAATAGACACACCCTATAGAGTGCTAATAAAAGAATGCATGTTTTGGAATTCATTCATTTTTGTGTGTGTTTTTAATTAAAGAAGTGTAATTTTCTGTCCCTATACTGGTATTGGTCAGGTATGGGCAGACACTAAGCAGCACTTAAGGTCAAAATATGTCTGCTGTGTTCTGTCTGCATCTGATTAGAGTGTTATTGTCCAAAAATCAGGAAGGGTTAACTCAGAGGTGGGCAAACTCTTTGACTCGCGGGCCACAAAGGGTTCTAAAATTTGAGGGAAGGGCCGGACCAGGAGCAGATGGATGGAGTTTTTTGGTAATCCACTGCACAAGTAAGGCTGGGCATCATTAAGAAGTTGCCGATATGATACATGTCTCGATACAGTGCACTTTCGATTCGATATGATATATCTTTCAAAACGATTCGATACAGTTCAATAAAAAATAAAGGCTAAATCATGACTGTGATACTAAAAGCCTTTCTTAAACCACTTCTTGTACAAAGTCAATATGAAACAAGCCCATTTTATTCATTGAAACAGTGAATATGTCAAATGTGTTGCATAAACGAGTTTCCTTCCTCTAGAAAAGAGGCAAAACTGTAGCGCTGTAACACAATAACTGATTAAAATATACCAAAAAATAAGATATAGCGATACAGGAGACCACAATATCATTACTGTATCATCACATTAAATTATACTATATATCATTATTTCAATTTTTTTGCACACCTCTACTCATAAAAGAACAAAATAAAATTGGATATAAAACATATCCCATGTTATTGAAATATCCCACAATTGAAAATCATTATAAAGCATTACAACAAAATATCTGTCTTTCCAGTCCCATGGTATTTACTATTTATTGAAATGACTTTTAAAACACTGAAAATTTTTATTATTGTTCTTCAAGTTCGGCGGGCCGGATTAAAAAGATTAATGCATTAACTAGTTGTTATTAGATTTACTGTGACAGCAGTCTGTACTCTGGTCTCTGAAAGTTGTGAAAAGCTCTTATAAACTCATCGTGGTGAATAATTAGGATGCTCAGAATGCATAAAGTAAGTGAGGAAGAACTTTGGACCACTGCAAACTGTTTAAAATGATCTAGTTCTGGTTTTTTTTTTTTTTTTTTAAGATTATTAAAATCAAGTACAGCTAGAGCCAGTCACGATAATTACACTATCCAAATGTATTATCGTGACAGGTCTAAGTTCAGTGCCTTTGAGCTTTCCAATTCAGCTGAACCAGCACAGGATATCTGCTCCTGTCCCCTGGCAGATCCTCTGGTGTTTCGGGTTATGTTTTTAGGACCGTAGATTCCCCCGCTTGTGTGAGATACTCTGTGCTGACAGATATCCGTCGTGTGTCTGTGTCCTGTTTCAGTCTCAGGAGAACAAAACCTTCCTGTCCATGCTCAACAACGTGCTCAACACAGACGGCTTCTACTTCTGCACAGACTTCGACCTGACGCACACGCTGCAGAGACTCGCCAACACCAGCCCGGACTTCCAGGAGATGAGTCTGCTGGAGCGGGTGAGGACTCAGCAGAATACACAGACAAATAAAAACACCAGGAGCATATAAAGCGGGTTAATACGAACATTTTAAGACCAAAATATGAGCCTGCTGGACCGTTTGAGGGCCAAAGCGAGCAGCCTAACTCAGCAGAAAATGAAGACAATAATAGAACTATGAAAAACTGCTGATTGTGTATTTTGGAAACACATCGAGTGGGCGGGCTGGGTATATTAAGAAGATTATATCATCACTGCAAAATATTGAGCATTGGGGAAACTTAATGATTTATTCAGATGTTTTTCTGGTGTATAAAACCCTCCACGATCTTGCTGCACCCCCATTAAAGAGTTTATACAGTTTAATTTAAATACAAACAATAAAATATACAAAAAATGCTGCCAAATCATATTAAACATTACACAATTTTGATATTTTTGAAGTGACAATTTGCGGTTTTGACAATGGATTTGGGAAATGGAAATAATTTTATATCACTACTTAGATTCTCACAGATTTTAACACTAAAACTCAAAACCTTAGATCCTATTTTGAACAAAAATTTATTCTGAACTGCATTCATAACACATTTTCATATGTGACAGTAACAGGAAGTACCTACCAATTTCCCAGTCGCTATCTACAGCAGTCAGAGGGACCTTCTAGTTCCTCCTTCCTCGTGTTCACACAGTGGCTGAAAGTTTAACCGGTTTTAACATTAACATAGAACATTAGCTGGACTGATCACAGAGCTGCATTGTGGTGTGAAGAAATGCAGACAATTGTCAATTTAAATCTAGTGTGATGATTAATCGACGAAGCGATAATTGATCATTTAGAATTTCGGGTCTGATCAGGTTTTTTGAGTCTCCCGGTTTAATCATGGTGCATGTAAAGCAGTATCCCGGTTGCTGCAACATAAAGTTGAGCCACATGTGTCCAATACACAAACACTTTTCAGCCTTTTCATCACAACAGAAGCCAAAATAAATAAAGTGACCAAGATAAATAAAGTGAAATGATGTTAAATAAAGAGCTGCACTAAACCTGCACACGTCTGATCTCTGAAAACATGAACCATCTCCAACACGACACACACACAGAACAGACTCACCATCATCAACATCATCATCATCATCCCTCTGTCACAGAAAGAACACTCATATTGAACTGAGTTGTGTCCTTTAGTCCGACAGAAGCTGAACTGCATCAGCGCACAAGGAAAGAACTGTTTTTTTCAGCACTTACAGTTTATGCAAATGAGTCATGTGGTTTTGTGTCTGTAAAACGTAAACAAATGCGTCAAAGCTGCATTAAACACATTATAATGTCAAACGGGCTGATGTGGCTCTAGAGTGTTTATGGTTTATATGTTATAAAGTTGAGTTTATTTATGCAAATTAGTAATAGTAAAAATAACGATGATATATATATTTTTTTCAAAGCTTTGGGGGCAGGAGTGCTACTTGGATATGCAAAAATTGTGCAGAATTGTCCTTTTGGTGCTCTTCAGTGTAGGGACCAGTCTCAAATACAAAGTAGGATGAAGATGAAGTTAAAATACGCCAATGCGTTTCAGACCTTCGACCTTCATCAGGGCAAACTACTTTTGTACTTTTTGAGTGCCTCAGTTTTTTTCCTACTGTATATATTTTTTTTCAAATTTACTTTTATTGAAAAAGCAGATTACACCTTGCCATGTGTAAAATGAAATCGCACGTTCCTGCCTTTTACATTTTTAAAAACATACAAACTTCGAACATGTTGGGGAGCCTGAGAACCTCTTTCACAAATTAACAGAACATTGCAAATATGAAGTAGTTTTATATGAAGTCTGATCTCACCGGCTTTACATACTCTGTCCATTTAGACCGCATCTTATAAAATAATGTAATATAAATGATGATAATTTCAATTTAAAAACATTAATGTCGATCGTTAATTCCCCCGATGATCGATTAAGAAAATTTTATCGAATGCCCATCCCTAGTGTGTACTAATATGAACAAATGAATGACGTTTATGAAGTCTGACCATTTCTTCTGTTTGTCTTTCTCAGGCGGATCAGAGATTTGTGTGGAACGGAAACCTCCTACGAGAACTAGCAGCACAACCCGAGGTAAAAACACTACGGGCCCCCTCAGATTTACTATGAATCTCCTCATACATTTATATTTTTTAACTTTTATAACATGCTGTTTTATGTTCAGCTTCACAGGTTTGCTCTCCCAGTCGTCCATGGATGTATCCTTGATAGCAGTACAGTGTAAAAAGACTAATATTATGCCATTTTCTGCTTTGAATATGTAGACAAACTAATAATAAAGTGTTACGCAAGCGTGTGAATGAAACAAAACACGGCACCAGGTCTGTTTTTGATGAGGTAACAACATTATAGCAAGACTTGAAGCTCACAAGAATCCATTTTGCGTAACGTAGGACCTTAAATGTTTCTATTTCAAAGTACATATGTGATATATTTTAATTTATTTTGATGTCGAGCCTTTCCTTTGACTGTTCACGCTCAGTTATTTTCATGAAGCCGTGTCGGATCAACGGGAAAGTGTTTGAGTGGATCCTGATCTCGAGGAGGAGCTGTTTCAGAGCCGGAGTCAGATACTACGTCAGAGGTACTTTTGATTTAGACTCACACTTATACACTGCTCTGCATAAGATAATAGGATTCATACATGTATATAACCTTCTTAAGGAATGTAAATAAGTAAATCTAAAAGAAACAAATGAAGGTGGCAAAACATAAAAAAACTGGGAGGATTTCTAGCTCTGGTACTGCATGTATAAAGAATAATACAGAGAGCAGGTCAACATTTCGGTCCAGCTTGGAGCCTGTACAGTGTAAATTATCTCCATCATTTGAAAATTAACACTTCTTGTGATTAGTTAAACCCACCTCACTCAGGTCATGACAGAGGCTGGCCAGTAGGGAGTGTGGAGAAGTGTTTGAACATAGATAATAAATAATAATAATAACACCTTACATTTATATTGCGTTTTTCAAGTCGCCCAAAGCTCTTAGACAGAGTCCCATTAAACACACAAGCAATGAATCTTCATATGAGATCACCAAAACTGTAAAATTGTAATCGTAACAGGAATAATCAGAACAATTCAGCTTCTATCATCATACATTACCCAGTCCTGTTTACAAGTTCTTCAAACACGAAATCAAATCAAATATTAATGGAATTTCCCCTTTTTAATTTGTAACTATTCAGATCACTTGAATACTCGTTAGTATCTTCTTGTTTTTGCAAATTCTGACTGAAACTTTTCTCTCCGCAGGGATCGACTCTGAAGGCCACGCTGCAAACTTTGTGGAGACGGAGCAGATCATTTTGTATGAAGGGTCCAAGGCCTCTTTTGTACAGGTCAGAACTCAAGAACTCAACACCACACATCATGTCTTTAGATTCCAATTTTATTCAGATCCTCTTAAAGGTTACACCTCGCAGATCAGATATTTCCTGTTGTCCCAAGAGTCAAAAAACAAATAAGAAAACACTCATTTGAGCATTGAACTTCTGTTCCTTCATTTAAAAATGCTCTGGTGCAATATTTACAGAACCCGTGTAATTGTTTTTGATCATCTTGTTGAATGTTGTTGTATTTTGTGACTATATTTGAACTCTGTCTTATATTCAGATTTGACTTATTCATTGCAGTAAATTTGTAGTAGGGCTGAGTATCATTCAGAAGTTGCCGATACGATACATACCTCGATCCATAGGCCATGATACAATACAGTGAGCTTACAATTCAATATGATTTATTTCCATTCGATTCGATATGGTTCAATAAAAAATAATGGCTAAATCATGGCTGTGATACTAAAAGTCTTTTTTAAACCTCTTCTTGTGTAAAGTGAATTTGAAACACACCGATTTTAATCATCAAAACAGTGAAAATGTCGAATGTGTCGCATAAACAAGTTTCCTTCTTCTAAACAAGCAACAAAACTGTAGCGTTGTAACAAAATAATTTAGTAAAATAAACCAAAAAATACTCTTAGCGAGATATCAATACAGCAGCCCATGATAGCGATACTGTATCATCACATTAAACGATACGATATATATCGATATTTCAATATTTTTGCACACCTCTAGTCATGTGTGTGTCGTTGTGTTGATTTAGTTGTTTTGTTTTTTTCTATGGCTTTTTTTCCCCTGAATGTCTGTAGCCTACTGTCTGTTCTACTGTATCTGTCTTCTGTTGTTGCGGTTATTTTTTTATTTTTTATTTATTTGACAAACAAGCTTTAAATTCACTCTTAAAAACGTGCAATTTCACATTTCAGACCTTCCCACATATAAACACACATTCACACAATACAGTATTTACACGTGGGTACAACTTAAGTTTGTTTTTTAACCGGAACTTGAGGGGAAATCATGTATTGTGTTAGAATTTTTCTTTATAATGGATAGGAATTTATCAGTGTTTGTATCTATGTCTTTTGTGTGCAGACTCGAGGGTCCATGCCGTTTTACTGGAGCCAGAGGCCCAATCTCAAATACAAACCCAAACCCATCATCAGTAAAACCGTCAAACACGTAAGAGCCTCAAGAATCTCCTTTTTAATATCAGCTGTAGTACTATTTATGTCTCATTTTTATCTGATGTAGTGTTATTTATCTGTCTCACACGCTCGACAATGTTTGTTGTTTTTTTTTTTACAGATTGACGGCTTCCAGAGACATTTTGATTCACAAGTCCTCATTTATGGAAAACAGACGATTCTAAACCTGGTGAGTCGTGTTCAAATATAAATGTAAAACTTAAATAGCTACAGTATATCAATTTATCTTTCAATATATGACAGATGGAACAATACATTTTGGGGGTCAAATGTTTATCGTGAGGAATTTTCTATGTACTAACAAGAAACGGTTTGGGTTTTTTCTGTACTTTGACCAGATTTGAGCTGTAAAGCGTTGAATAAATTGCTTTTATGGCTCATTACAGACACAAACTAACTACTAAAGTGATTAATTCTTCTATTTATTGCAGTTTACGTTTTTTAAATTATTGTCAGTGGCATAAATTAGTTTCAGTGTTATCGTTTATCATTTATATTTTCTTCAAGAGTATATCACATTTCCATATTTGTTATCGTGACAGGCCTAGTTGCTGTAACTTTGTGTTGTGTTTGTTGTGTCCAGGTGAACCAGAAAGGATCCGAAAAACCTCTAGAACAGGCGTTTGCTAGAATGGCTTCTGAAATGGGCAATGGTTTACTCAAGTAAGTGGAATAAAATATTATCCCTTTAGATTAACTAGGGCTGTCCCATAACCACAACTTTAAAAACAAAAGGGGCATGGTTTTATATAGCTTTGTGTTATTTTCGAACATCTAATATTTCCAGCGTGTTATTTCCAGAATCCAGCAGTTGTTTGTGGCTGTAAATGCCCAAACACACTCTTGTACATATTGTAAATGCTGAAATAAAAGGTAAACCATGTAACTTTTCTATTGAAGGACCAGACAAATAGGTTGTGTCTGCAGAGATTTTCTACCGTTGCCTTGAATATTCCACAGTGTGACATTGAACTCAGTTTCTGTCATGTATTTATTCAATTACAGTGTTATTATTACTGTCATTTGGGCAGGAATAGCCAATTTTAAGACAAAAGCTAGACAAAACAGTTAAATCTACCACTAAAGTTACGTAAACTTCTAAAATGATGTTCTTGCATTATTACAAGGCTTAATGTACACAGCTTTTATAACAACATCAGTAATTTTTTAAAAAATGTTTTAATTCATAGTCTCTAATAATTTTTGTGCACCACTTTGGAAACTGCTTTGTTTTTAAAATGTGCTGTATAAATATGAAAAAAGTGGATTTGGATTTGGAATAATAATCTCTCTAGACAACCAGACAAACATCAACACAACAAATTAAAACAATAATAATATTCAACAAAGATTACAACCAAAGATTAAACCACACTGACAAAAAATTATACAAAATATAATAATAATTTAAACAATTATTACATTTAATCAAAACAAAAACAAAACAACAAGTTTTCCCTATAATACAGTATCAGTATTATAGGCTTATGTTATGAGATGGAGAGATGATATTCTTTATGTTTCTGTCCTGGCCGCATCTTAAACATCAGCTCTTGTGTGTGCAGTTACATAGCGTTTGACTTTCACAAAGAGTGCAGTCACATGAGATGGGACCGGCTCCAGATCCTGGTGGACGCTGTGGCTGAAGCACAAGACGAATACGGGTAAGACACTGTTATCACGTCTTATATTTATGTCATTTTAAAATCTGTAAATCAGTCAGAAGTGAATGTGAGAGAAAAACAAAACTCTAGATCTAAGATAACTAAACGTTTCTTCAGAATGGTGTAAAAGTGCTGGTTTGTGTTGTGTTTTTTGCCTTCAGTTTCTTCATGGTGAACGCAGATGGAAAGACTTTAGCTCAGCAGAAGGGCGTTTTCAGGAGTAACTGCATGGACTGTCTGGACAGAACCAACGTGATCCAGAGTCTGCTGGCCCGGCGCTCCCTGCAGGCTCAGCTCCAGGTACCAGCTCCACCTTTACCATCACAATCCTCTCTATACTCTACCACGAGATTAAAGGGTCCATGTTACACTGTTTTCTGATCAGTTAAAATGTTGTTTTCTCATCACAAACAGATCTGGAGTTGTGTTTTATTTTATTCACACATGTTTAACACACAGAAAACATTTTGTCCTACTTTGTGATGCCATGTGGTGATACAGGAAGTGCTCTACTGTGTATTTACACTCCATGCATCTTCAGTAGTATCATTTGGTAATTCCAAGACTAAAATTATCCCATCTTTATAGAACTAAAGGTAAAATAACAAATAACAAACAAAAGTAACAGAGCATTTTGAGCTTTGGAGATGTAGACAGGCTCATAATGAAGTGTTACTCATGTGTGAACGAAACAAAATATTCCATCCACAATCCAGGGACAATTTACACACAAGGAAGACATTTTTCTGACAGTTTAAACTTTCATTCAACAAAATAAAGGTGTTGTAATTTATTTTTATTAATCTCAATGAAACAAGTAAAGTTTTAAGTATTTATTTATTTTTACTTATAAAGGGATGTCCCTTGAGATGTAACGTCTCATTTGCGAGGGGGTCCTAAATACAATAACAAAAATAATATAATCATGTTAGTCATCCTGGAAAAGTCAGGAAAATTGAAAATGTCATTTTCCAGGCCTGGAGAAGTCATGGAATTTTACTATCTCTTTCAGACAACTACAGCGTTCTGTTAAGTTTTCATTAGACTATTATGATTATTTTCGAACCTCTGCACCTTTTGTTTAAAAGAGACGACAATAAATGCACTGACTGGATTTTGAATGTTAAACTATAATAAGGTGAGTGGAAAGAGTTAACGTTTCATATGTAGCCCTAAAAGTCTGATCTATTCTACACATGTAGGTGCCGTAAAGTCATGGAAAATTCACTTTAGGTCATGAAAAAGTCATAGAAAAGTTTTGAAATTTTGTCAGTGAAAAAAAGTGGAAACCCTGAACTGTGTTTTAGTGAAATGCGTGTTCTGACCTCTCATATCCACTTTAAACTGTTGACTAACCCATGTTTGTGCCCACAGAGGATGGGTGTTCTGAACGTGGGCCAGAGGATTGAGGAGCAGGCTGAGTTTGAGAAAATCTATAAGAATGGTGAGTCCTGTTCACTGTTAAACCTGGAGACATGTCATGGACACACTTCTCACATTCTTTAAGTGTCACAAGGGCGTCATTATTCATTCAGGAAGCCATTTAAAAAAAGGCTTTCAATCTGTGGCATTGTCCCCTCTCACCACCAACCATCACACTCCACTTTCATACATGAATAAGATAGGGAAGTGTCTTGCCCAATGACACAGCAACGTCATACACTTTTCAGAACTGGAATCAGGCAAAGTTGGTGGGTGCACGGTCAAACCACTGTGTCACTGTATTTGTCATCAAATAAAGCCTCTTTATCCAACAGTAGAAGATGCACAGACAGCCTCTCATTATAAAGACTTTGATCACACCGTGTCTGAATCATTGTTTTTATAGTTGTGAATCGTTCTGACTATAGCTGTGGATTTTTGTGTCTCTGTGTCACAGCCTGGGCCGACAACGCCAACGCATGTGCAGTTCAGTACGCGGGGACCGGGGCCCTGAAGACGGACTTCACGAGGTACTGAGCCCACACTGGACTCACAAGACTGCACACAGGACTACAGGAGAGAACACATGTGAAATCTGGTGCTATGGTGTTTAATATTGCGCCGATAATTTAGTAGTGGTAAAATGAAGGCTTTTCTTGTTAAGATTTTATTTTGAAATTGTTTAACAAAGGTAAGGTGGCTCATGCATCTGCTATGGATGCCTCTTGAACGCTTCTCTGGGGAGGTGTTTTAGGCATGTCCCACCGGAAGGAGGCCCCTGAAAGACCCAGGACATGCTGGAGGGACTCTGTCTCTCGGCTGGCCTGGGAACAACTCGGGGTCCCCCTGGAGGAGCTGGAGGAAGTGTCCGGGGTGTAGGAAGTCTGGGAGTCCTTGTTTAGACAGCTGCTCCCACGACCTGGCCCCTGATAAGCAGAAGAAGATGGATGGATGGAAGTTTAACAAAGACGAAACATTATATGATTAAGACGTTTCTGATTATTTTCAATTTGTCAACTAATATTTTTAACAGAAACTAGGGAAAAATGTTTGATTTTCTGTCACCTAAACATAAACCTACTTGTATTTCATCAGTAAATGTGACACCTCTTCCCCCTCCTGTCACCAGTGCAGACAGCAATAACATAAACATCATCTAGTGGTGATATCTGAGAATACAACAGGGCCAGGGTCTAATGACAGAATGTAGCTTTAAGACTAAAACACTGATTTTAAATGGTGTCATGTGAGAGTAGTTCTTGCATCAGCCTAATATAGGGTGACCATACATCCTTATTTACCTGGAACAGTCCCAGTTTTGAGCCCTGTGTCCCCTGTCCCAGCAGATTCATCCAAGACCAGTGATTTGTCCCAGTTTTATACAAGAAATGTCTCAGGTGTCCCTATTTATTGCCCAATCTGTTACCAACAGTAAAGAGAGGCATACATTGTCATTTGTTTAGGTAAAATACCAAAAAAGCTGCTCAAAAATGACCAAAACACAAAGAAAATGTGACTATTCTGACTCATGTGTTCGTCATGAATAACAGTTTTCCTTAATTACACATTCGTTTCACAATTTTATCATTACCAACCACCACAAACCAGCGATGTCCCAGTTTTATATTTTGAAAATCTGGTCACTCTAGCCTAATATTGCAGTAACAGTATGTTTGGATTTATCTTGTTCTGTGTGTGTGTGTTTCTCTCTCAGGACGGGGAAAAGGACCCAGTGGGGCCTGCTGATGGACGGCTGGAACTCAATGATCCGTTACTACAAAAACAACTTCTCAGATGGATTCAGACAAGTATGTTCACAGCACATTTCACAATTTACTCTGCTTCCTCTCTTCGGGGTGCCGCAGATGGAAAGACAAAATAGTCCTTTGATATGAGAATTTATACATTTTTGGATGAACGTTACAGTACCAGCTTAAAATTGTGGGGAAAAAACAAAACACTTTTTAACAGTTTGCACTAAATTTCTCACTACCCATTCAGGGCGTTCTAATTATTCACAGTGATGAGTTTATAAGCACTATTCACAACATTCAGAGACCAGAGCAGAGTTTTGTGGCCAGGGTTATGCTGACAACATACACATTTTATTTAACTATTAGTATAAAAACCTAAACAGAAATCCTTTATTCACAGTGTCATAAAAATGTAATAGGTTAAAGGGCCTGTACACAATTTTTTCCACGTTTTTTTCCACATATGCGATTGATAAGCTCGCTGTGGACTGTCTGCATCTAATTGTAAAACGTTTTATTGTCTGAGAATCAGGAAATGCACGGTTAGCATTACTATGACGGCAAAGAGTTATAGACTAATCTCTGTGAATAATTAGAATGTCCGTTTAAAATGAGCTGTTGTGTTTAATAATCAGACACAGCCACTTTAAGCTGCATATTGTTAACTCTAAAATGCAAATGACTATTATTATCGTAAAACTGTATAATGTAATCCTGATCGCTCATGTTTTATCTGCTGAATGATCTCACTTGTGTAAAACTGTAGCAGATGTTTAGTGGAGGTTCTTTGTTTCTGCAGGACGCCATTGATCTGTTCTTGGGTAATTTTGCTGTGGACGAGTCTGACGGACCAACTCCACTCCGAGAGCAGAAGGACTGGAAGTTCCTCACTGTCAGTTCTTAAATATATTTCATTGTTTACATTTTTAATAGTGTTTGATTGAGCCTGAGCCCCTGATCTGAGCTGTGTTCTTGTGTCTGCAGCTGCCCATCATCATGCTGGTGGCCTTCTCCATGTGCATCGTGTGTCTCCTCATGGCCGGTACGTCAAACTGTAAACAGGATCTTCTCTTTAGGCCAGGGGTCTCGGGAGCTACCAGTGGCTCTCGACCCTCTTCCAAGTGGCTCTCGAAGGGATTTCTGTATTACACACATTATGCTGAATAACTTAAAAGTGATTAATTACATGACTATTTCCTCTGGTGCCGAGCTCTGTGCACTAATAAAGGGGTAATGGTTTACAGTCGTCTCTCGCTATATCGTGGTTCACCTTTCGCGGTCTCGCTGTTTCAGGGATATTTTTGTGTAAAATTTTGCATGTTTTTTTTTTTTTTTTTTTTTTTTTTTTACAGCGCATTAACGTGTATTGCGTTCCTCCCCCTGCGTTCTGATTGGCAAAGTAATTGTAGATCATTGTCAATCTACAGAATACGTTCAGCTGCTAAATTTACATAAATGTTCAATCGCTAGCAGTGTGATTCTGAAGTACTGTGCGATCGGGCAATTGCCGTGCTTACCTCCGTGAGGTGCAGAGCTCTGTGTCGGTCCTTTCTCCTGCGGTCACCTCTAAGCCCTAATCCTGTCCCAACAGTGAGTCCTGGTTCAGTTCTGGTTTAGTCCAGGTTTAGTCCTAGTTTACTAATTTAGTCTTGGTTCAGTCCGTGGCATATGCAATGCAAAAGTTTGATATTAACGGGCGGTGCAATGCTGTACTGAGCGGGTGTGGGCAGATGCGGTCCTGTACTTCGCAGGTGTGAGTCTCCAAAAATGGACCCGTGCAGGACTCTGCGCTGTAGGCTCCATTACAGAATAAATGTGTCTTCGGTTCGTTACATAAAGAAAGAGGAAAATAACAAAAGTTCAACAAAATTCAGTCTTTGGGAAACAATGCGTTAAACAATATGTGGGCTAAGGGGAGTGTAACGTCACCCACAGTTTTCAGCTCCAGTCAAATGAAGCTCATGAGGTCAGTTTTTATTGAAGCAAATTTGGAGCTAGTTCCATTTTCAGACAAAATAGTGAAATAAAAACACCAGGATCATGTAGAGCGGGTTAACGAGAACATTTTAAGATCAGAATGATGGGGCTCACAGTAGCAGTTACAGAGAGAGGGGCCATAATTTTCAGTGCAAAGTGAATAGGAGCCAGCCAGTCCGTTTATATTTACAGTCTATGGTTATAACATGGTTGAAAGCTCAATTTTGCATAAAGAAAAGTAAATGACCAATATTTCTCTCCCAGGCGACACGTGGGCAGAGACTCTAGCGTACGTGATGTTCTGGGGCGCGGCGAGCACCATCACGGCCGCCATCATCCTGTACAACGGCCAGGACTTCGTGGACTCGCCCAAACTGGTGCACAAGGAGAAGCTGGACTGAAGTTTGTGTGTGCCTGTGTGAGTGTGGTACTGCGTGTGTCTGAGAGGGAGCGGAGCCGGGCGGGGCCTCGGCTCTGCTCCCCCCACTCACCCCCTAAACCCCCCCTGATCCCTCGCTCCCTCCACCAGACTGATCCAATCCTCTGTGCTGACGGCATCCTCGTACAAACAAGCCAGGTTCTGAGTTTGAAAGCTGCAGACTAGAGGTGGGCAAACTCGATAAATGATCATGGTTTGTTAATGAACGAACCAAAACTGAAAATTGAACGGACGTAATTCGCAGATCGTAAAGGCTGCGGTTTTTGAAGCACCATAATTTCCTCCACAAACACAAAAATATTCACTTTTATCCACCATAAAACAGCCCCGTAGTTTAGATCTGCACAAACATGTTCAGAAATGTGATTCCAGTTCAGTGTTTTCATGTAAACTTTGAGCTAAATCCTATTATTAAAACATGATTCGCTATTTTTTTTTTTTTTCAAAATTGTTGCGCTTTATTTTGAAGGCCCAGGTGTAGCTCTTGAATATTTGTGTTTTTTTAAGTAATTTTGGTGATTCTTTACTTTACTGCATGGTAATAACATTGTAATAAGATAGAAATAACATGGTAAGAGTGAGTTCACACTTGGCTTCACTGCATTATATTGGTATTAAACTCTAACTAACTTAACTAAAACTGGGACCAGACCGGGACCAGACCAAATCCATATTAAGACTCGAGCTGGACCAACATCAGGATAAGTCTTGCACCTCCTACTTGGGGTAAACTGGAACTAAACCCAGAACTAGACCAGAACCATAAGACTAAACTAAGTCTACATCAGAACTGGGACACAACTCAGAACTAAAACTGGGACTAGAGCGGGACTAGACAGATCTATATTAAATCCAAAACAGGTCCCAAACTAGGACAAATCTCATAAAGAGACCACATCCTAATTGGGAATAAACTGAAATTAAACCCAGGACTAAACCAGGACTAAACCAGGACTGGGACTAAACTCAGAACTAAAACCAGGACTAGAGAGGGACTGGACCAGGTCCAAAACGGGTCCCAAATTAGGACGAATCTCGTAAAGAGACCACGTCCTAATTGGGAATAAACTGAAATTAAACCCAGGACTTGACCGGGACTAAATCAGGACTAAACAAGGACCAGTATTAAATCAAGTGTGAACGCAAACTGTGTAATTACATGATTATTACTCAAGACCCATATTTCATTCTACATTATTTCCTTGTGGTATAATTAACTCTTAATTCAGTGTATTAACTATTCTGTTGATACTAGGGATGGGCATGATTAATCGATAATTGATCATTAAGAATTTCATCGATTACGTTCATTTTAATCGACAAACCGAATGTATGTTGCTGTGTGTAGTGTGACCAAACAGGTGTGTACATGTGTCTCTGCATCAGAAGGAGCGAGACACAAACATTCGGTCAGTCTGCAACGTACCGAAGCACAAATGCGTATTTAACGATCATTTGTACAAGAAATTCCACGCTTTCCGTTGCGTTCGGGACAAGTGTGAGTCCATGTGCACAGTGTATAAAGCAGCACATATGTTTCTGTGTCCAGTGGGAAAAAGTTTTACCAGGTGAGAGTCGCTCAATGTGGATGACGAGTCCCCGCCCCCTCCCCCCCGTACGGTGTCCTGGTTTTGACAAACACAAATCTGGTCACACTAACCTGTATTCACCTGAGTCATGTCTTTTAATCCAACAGAAATTGACCGCATCAGCGACACAAGAGCTGTAGTTTTATCTTCGCTGAGTTTATGCAAATTAGCGATGCGGTTTTAAGTTTTGTTTCTGTGAGAGTTGCACAAAACTGAATTAAACACATTATAATGTCAAACGGGCTGATGTGGCTCTAGAGTCGTTACGGTTTATATGTCGTAAAGTTGAATTTATTCATGCAGATTAGTGCAGATAGTAATAATAATGATGATCATTTTAATATAAAAACGTTAATGATTAATCGATAATCGATCGTTAATTCTTCCGACGATCGATTAAGAAAATTTCATCGAATGCCCATCCCTAGTTGATACCATTATTATCAATATCAATTACATTGCTATTAACATCTATTACTGTGCTATTACATGTTATAAAGTTCTACCAATAATAAGAAAGGAACATTTTGAAAGACAAATTTTTTATTTTTTGCTAAGAAAAATAAAGAAATTGGGACTAAAATGAGACTAAACCTAGACCTACACTTGATTTGGTTCAGGTTTTAGGCCCAGTTTAGTCCAAGTCCAATCAGGATCAAGCGAAAAGCGAAAGCAGTGTTACGTTTTCATCTTAAATCCATCAATTTCTCAGTTAATTTTATATACTACTTCACATTTCTATGAGCTTGCCTACGTCTAGCTTGCATTGTACCTGGTTTTACTTTAATTACAAGTTATACAGATAATTTATTCACTTTTAATATGGTTAAACGACTAAAAACGTGGTCACTTAACCCACTAAAAACCCAACGGATTTAATTAATGCTTTTGTATAACTTTTAATTAAACTCTACTCATTTCATAACGTTATAATTTACACTCATTTCACTTTATTCGTATCTTTCCTTCTTTTAGGTGATGCAAAAAAAAAAAAAAGATGATTCTAGATACCGTACGATCTGTATTATCTCCAGAATGTTGTAAAACGCCCCCTACTGGCCTCATTGACATACCGCACTCATACACGCACACACAAAAGAATGACTTGGCTGCTGGAGAGCTCGTTTTTGAATGTACCAAGCCTTAATAATGTTGTATAGTAGAACACGGCGGCTCTGAATGGGACGCAGAGAGGCGGGCGTGGTCGTTTTTTGCACATCGGAGCGCCGTGTCGTGTGCCGCCGGATATTAGAGGTATCCATTTTAACGTATGTTCATAGTCTGACCTGGTTTCAGACCTTTGGAAGCTGAAGTTGCGCTGTGTAACTTTTTGATTGGATTGCAGGTCCGTCCTTTGTTTTTTTCTATAAATATGTCATTTTTCTGCTCGGAATGTTCCACGGTATGACTTTAAACAGCTCTACGTAGCGTTTATTCAATTACAAGTGGTTTTAAAGCTCAAAAATACCTTGAAAAACAACATTCTGACTCTGTGCGGGGTCGTCTCGCCACAGATCTGACTTGTAACTTGGTCTTGGAAAGGTTTAATGCCGTAGCGAAGTGTTTAACGGACCATCCACCAGAAAAGTTACACAGCGCAGCTTTAATGTAATATTACAGATGGTTACGCAAAATGTCGCCATGTTTTCTGATTATGTTTTACTATAACGTTTAGAGATTTTTTTTCTGTTTAATTTGACTTTTTGAAGATGCACCATGGAACTTTTTTGGTGCAGAGTCTGTCACGTGCTTTTTTCCATGGAGATGTTATTTCTTTGTCTGAAATATTCCACAGTATAGCATTAAACTACTTCTTCTTCTTGAATCTTATATATTTATTCCATTACATGCACTTCTCCACAGATCTGACCTGTAACTTGGTCATGTTTCTTTCCATTTGGTTTAAGATGAGTTAGGTTTAATGGTACGTTCAGACCACAGTGTCGTTTTCTTGTAGTGTTGAAGTCGACAGGGTCCCGAGACCAGGATATGACCAAGACCCCAAAGTCGAGACCGAGACAAGACCGAGACTTTAAAAGGCCGAAACAGAGACAAAACCAAGACCATAGCCCATCAAGAGCAAATCAAGACTGTAATTTTCGAAATTTATTTGTAGTTTACAGTTATTTTGACACATATATACAAATGTTTTTAAAAATCTATCTCCATTTGATCACTCTTTGAGTGTCAGACCGAGACAAGACCGAGTCCAAACATGGTCGAGACCAAGACTGGAAAAAAAAATGGTTTCGAAGCCAGTCTTGAGACCAAGTCCGCTCTTGAGTACTACAACACTGTTATCTTGTCAAACACTTTGGATTTCTTTGCGTTTCATTTTAGAATTGTGTGAAATTTGTCAAAAGTTAATATTTTTCTTCTCTGTTCTTCTTAAATGCTCTACATATTTGGAACATGCAATGGAAACTTTGGACAAACCTGTTACTCATAGACTTTGGAAACGTTCATACAGCAAGGTTTAATGCTTCGGATTTTTTGTGAGTCTGTTCACATTTCCAATTAAATGTGACTTGTATGTGATCTCCAGTGTGAACTTTAAACGCCCCAAAAGTGTCCCGCATGAGCACTGGAGGACACGATGACGTCACGTGCCGAGCATGCTCACAGTTTACAGAAGTGACCTAAACTCTGGGCTTGTCTCCCAAAATCCGGTCCAGTTCTTGGTAAAATGGACAGTTTACACGTCCACGGTGTCTTTAACCTCCTCGTATTTCACTCGCAAGCTCTTTATTTTTCGTTGACATTGGAGCCAGGACCGCCTTCTTTTCTTTGGCCATCATTTCAAAAATCGACCCCTGAATACAACGACCCCCCCCAAATATGAATAAACTCTCTAACCTCGCTTTCCCTCCATTGACGAGACTCCGAGCCTGACGTGTAGGTGGGATGAATGTGACCTGACCGTTCAGACTGAAGTCGCGTGTCAAAAGATCGGATATGTATCGGTTTTAGGAGCACATATCCAAAAAATAAAAAAAATCGGATCTGTGTCGTTCAGACTGTCATTAAAAGATCAGATACAGGAGCATAGGGGAGAAAAAAATGGATTTAGGTCACTTTACAGGCAAAGCAGTAACATCTCCATGGTGTAAAAACAGGTGGCAGATCCTTTAACCATACAGCAACAAGGCTTTTATATAAAAAATAATTAAAGTTTGATATTTTTGGCGTTCGTTTTGCATTTTCGTTCAGTATTTGGTTCGTTTTGAGGTCTGAAGCCAGGTCCTATGCTTGTATAAACATGAAGTAAACGCATATGGACCAAAACTGCTGTGTAAAAATGCTATTTCCTGAACTGAATATTGTACGTATACCTCTTTAAATAGTCCATGTTATGTGTGGAATTTATAATACCAAAACGTTTTTCCCATTTGACACACGCACACAAACAAACCAGAAATGAATTGTGAAGAATTGCCACATTTACATTTCAAATCCAGAATTCGCGTATTGTATCCTTGACGAAATTTGAGAAAAATATTAGAGTAACAGTATTTTACCTTCACTTCTTTTTTTTTTTTTTTTCCTGACAGAGGTTTGGATATGACGTCACATACACACAAATAAACCCGATTTCTTGTATTACTGCCTTATAAAATACAGTACAAGTATTTGGCTTATTAATAATTAAGGATAAACGGGATATTTTCTGTTGGTTTTTTTTTTCCATCATGCCTTCATCTGATTCATTCCAGGTGTTTTTAATTTTTTTTTTTTTTTTTTTGAATTGTTAAAATCATTCCTGTAAATGTTTTCTCGTGGTCGTAACTTTAGGCACACCTGCTCGAACGGTAATAACAGGAAATCTCAGTCGTATTCGCTTCGTTTTGAGAACAGGTGTACCTAATATTGTGGCCTCCTCATGTGTACCTAACTGTACTGAGAACACGGTAGCGGTGTTTAAGACTTGGGTGTAACTTTTTAATACACAAACTGATCTATGCTGTAACAGGATTCCTCTCAACACACACTAACTTATTCAACTTTGACAGGTAATTCGATCTGTGTGCATGAGATCAATAAAGGAATTAATTCTAATCTGTACAGAAAAAAACTCAGTCTCTGTGTTTTTATTTATTTTTCAGTGTAGTCAGTAATAGAAGTGTAAATTAAAATGGATTAAATACAAATATTAGGTATTATATATTTGATTGTACTTACATTTTTATTTGTTTTTCTTTCTTTTCTGGAGGATTATTGGAAAAAGAACAAAATGGGTACATGCGCTTTGATTCGATTAATATCACAGTGGAAAAAACAATATCTAGTTAAATTAAAATGATTTAAATTAAGAGTATTTTACCTTATTTGAGTCAATTCAACTTGACATGTCAAATGATCTACCAATGGAATAAGTGTGTTTTTCTTAATTCAAGCAACATTCGATTTTGTTTCTCATTTTAAGTGCAGTAAGGTGTATGTTCATATTTTAACTACAAAAAGTCTAGCAGATAATTTCACTTGTCAGGTTAAATTTACTCAAATCATGATAAAACTTTATGTAATGTAAGTCATCTGAACTTTGCTAGATTTTGTTTTTTGCCGTACAGATTTTTGTCAGAGATTTGGAGTTCTAAGATAATTGAAATGAAATGTAAACCACTACACCACGTTCCAAATTTGTATGCAAATTATGTTTAAGTGTCATAAAGGTAAAATGTTTTGTTTTCCAGTGAAACTCATGGATGGTTTTGTGTCTTTGGGTCAGTGAAATCAGTCTCAGATTCAAGTGCCAATGAGTTTGCCATGTAAGTCCAATTAAAGGAAAAATGATTTAATAAGGTCATTCCACATTATGAAGCAGACCACCATTCTCAAGCAATACAGGAAAGAAAAAGAATCTCTCTAGTGCCGAAAAGCGTGAAATAGTTGAATACGTTGGACAAGGTATGAAAACCTTACTTCAGACATGTCAAACTCAGGCCCGGGAACCAAATTTGGCCCATGATATAATTATATTTGGCCTGCGGATCATATCAGCCAGACTATAGAGACATTATTTATTTAAAATGTTGTTATTATTTTATATTTTACTTGTTCTGGATTCAGTGTTTAAGCAAATCTATTATTAAACATTTATTTTAATAAGAAAAGGTTTAACATCACAGATCTCGAAAGAAAATAAACATGGAGATGTTCTTGAAATAAAAAAAAAACAAATTTAGTTTTGCCCATGACTTAGTGCCAGTTTTTAATTTTGGCCTCTGTGAATTGGAGTTTGACACCCTGCCTTGGATATTTCATGAAAACTTAAGCGTGATCATCGTACTGTTATGAGATTTGTAGCTGATTCAGAGCACACACGGATTCATGCAGATAAAAGCACAATGAGGAAGGTTTCTGTCAGACAAACACATCGGGTTAAGAGAGCCGCTGCTAAAATACTGTTACAAAGCAGCAAACGGGTATTTGAAGCTGCTGGTGCCTCTGGAGTCCCGCGAACATCAAGGTGTAGGTGCCTCCAGAGGTTTGAAGTTCTGCATAAACCTTCTATTGAGCCTTTAAACAAAACTCACAAGCAGAAATGGCTCCAGGGGCCCAGAAATACATGAAGACTCATTTTCCAACAGTCTTGTTCACTGATGAGAGCTGTGCGGTCCTGAATGGTCCAGATGGATGGAGCCGTGGATGGTTGGTCGACGGCCTCCATGTCCCAACGAGGCTGCGACGTCTGGGAGGCTGTTCTGACATCCCGCAAAGAAATTCAAGCAGAAACTCCACAAACTCACAAGTTCACAAAATGCAAGAATTATAAAGCTCAAATAAGAACTCCTATGTTCAAATGGAACTGGACCTGTTCAGATGTTTTGACTGAAATATCTTTTGATTTCAGTAATATGCTAATGCTTCAAATTGAAAAATAAATTACCATTTTCAGTTCTTCACAACAACAACATGGTTTGAAACTGTTGTGCATAATAATTTGGAACAGTGCATTTTAAATTCTTAAAAATACTGTTCTCATTGGGAGGTTTGTTCAATAACATTCAAATTGTTCTAAAGGTTGATGACTTAAAAATTATGTTTCCCTGCCGAGGGACTACGGATGGAAATGAGCATTCTTGATGTAATCTGGCATATTTACACTGCAGTGTTGTAGATGTTCTTTAATATGCACTGTCCCTATTAAATTAATAAGTAAATAATGATGACAGTCGTTTATGTTGACAATTTAGCAAAATCAGAGATAAATATAATTTGCTTAATTTAAAACACTGTGTAAATCTTGTTTTATTATTATTATTTTTTTCTCAAATCTTTTTCTGAGTGAGAAGGAAGAGAGGAATCTTATATACTCCATCGACCCATCTGGGAATGACCTCTGAGAGCTCAATTTCCTGCTTTTACTGTGGGAAAAAATAATTAGACAACACCCCATAAGACACATGCACATACACCACACGCACGTGTTTGGTTTCATGACTACGGCTGCGTCTCATTTCTCTTTCCTCGCTTCCTTCTCCTTGATTCCTTTCCTTGATTCTGCAGTAAACGGGGCAGGAGGGAGGAGAGGATCTAAACTCCTCACTGAGACCAATAAAGTTTGATTCTTTTCTCTGACATCTGCTCCTGAAGCCTCCCTCAAGTTTAATCCTTCATTCTGTGGTTTTCTTTGGGTTTCCACTTAATACGACACATTTGATTGACAGCTGAAAAATAGAGGATTGAGGAGACGAGTCAAGGAGAAGGAAGCGAGGAAAGAGAAATGAGACGCGACCAAGGACTGACCATCTTTTCCTGGAGACAAATCTTAACCTTAACAATGAACAAATGCAAGATCCAGACAAGGCAGTTAGCATCTCCATGGAGACAAACAGGTGCCAGACTTTCCACCAGAAAAGTTACATAGTACAGCTTTAAGTGTAAATACAGTAGACCCAAAATGAACTGTAAATGAACTTTAGATTTGTATTTGAATGATTAACTTGAACTCAGACTGGATTATTTTTAAGGAAATGTGATTTTATTACAAATATCAAATGTTTGTAGTAGTATTTATAGTGATGAAATGGAGATTTTATATTGCAATGGACCGAGGAAGACTTGCTGATGGCACTGCTTTTAGCTTATGGAGTCTATATAAATAAACAATAACTTTTAATTAAATTTTATTTTACTGTATTGTATTTTATTTTTTAATTTGTTGTTTTATTTATTATTATTTATTATTATTATTATTACTTTTTTCTGTGACATCTGCTTTATGTGCACAAAAAAGTAATATAAAAATAAATAAATAAAAAATAAAATAAATAATAACAATAAATAAATATAAAAAATAAAATAAAAAAACTATATACATCTTTAAGTGGGTTAATATTTTGACTGGGCAACTTTTACTTATATTGGAATCATTTGACGAAGTGTATCTAATTTTTTTTTACTGAAATAATGAAATTCCATACCTGTTACCTCCGCAAATTCCTAGTTATTTTAATAGATCCGTGGCAAATTGGTCTCTTGCTATCTTTTTTTGCTACTTTTTGAGAATTTATTATTACCATTTATATATTTTACTCTTTGTTATTATATTATATTGTTATATGTGAGCTCCTGTGTCCAAATTATCTCCCTTGTGGTCAGTGTTGGGAAGGTGACTTTTAAAATTTATTCCCCTGCAGATTACAGATTACACACCCCAAAATGTAGTTTGTAACGTAATCCATTCAATTACTTAAAGTGAGTAATGTAATCTGAATACTTTGGATTACTTGATTTGCTGTTGAGAAGCAAAGACGAGGAAATCTTCACTTAAGAAGTTTTGTCTGATAAAAGAAAATAAAAAAGCAGAGTCTTTATTTAACCAAATAAAAAAAATATATTATTGATAGAAGAGGAGGAAACACGGTCCATGCAACATGATTTAGTCCAGTTAAATCCTGTTTTAGACCTGGTTCAGACCTGGTTTCGTCCTGGTTTAGTCTTGGTTTAGACCTAGTTTAGAACTGGTTTAGACCTGGTTTAGTCTTGGTTTAGACCCAGTTTAGACCCGGTTTTAGTCCTGGTTTAGTCTTGGTTTAAACCTGGTTTAGACCTGGTTTGGACCTGGTTTGGACCTGGTTTAGACCTAGTTTGGACCTGGTTTGGACCTGGTTTAGACCTGGTTTAGACCTGGTTTGGACCTGGTTTAGACCTGGTTTGGACCTGGTTTGGACCTGACTTTGACCTGGTCTAGTGTCTGGCAATGGGTGGAATTACTGGGGAGAAAAAAAAAAAAAAAAAAAAGGGATAAGGCCCGAAACGTGAAAACAGGAAAATACCGCCGTGTAATCCATTTATTTCAACAAAGTAACTGTAATCCAATTATCACTCACTGAAACAGTAACTGAATACAGTTACTCATAATTTGTACTCTGATTACATAACTCCGGTACGTGTAATCTGTTACTCCCCAACACTGCTTGTGGATCAATAAAGTTTGTCTAAAAGTCTAAATTAGCACAAAACTATTCTCTCATGTTTGTTTTGTCCAGCAGGTGGCGGTAGAGCGTCCCCCACACGCTTTAACCAAAACGAAGAAACGCGTGACGTGTGCCGCGCAGACGTAGCCGGTGCGTGTTGTGCGGTGGTTGTATGCTAGCTGCGTGTAGCATGTGCGTGTAAACTTTGCGTGAAACATTTTTGTGTGTTTTTGTTTTATTGGAGATCGATCCGCGTGGGACCGAGCGGCATCATGAGCACGCTGTGGATGGGAAACGTGAGTGTGTTTTGAAGTTATTTTAGCACTAATTTAGCCTCTTTGAGCAAAGTTGTAGCGTCAGATGGGAAGTGATGATGAATAAACAAAACCTGGAACAACCTCAGAGTGACCGCACGTCCCTGTTTATCCCTGTCCCGGCGGATTTATACAAAACCACTGATCTGTCCCAGTTTTATACAAGAAATGTCCCTATTTTTGACCAATTCAATCCCTTCCAACAGTAAAGAGAGACATAAACTGTAATTTGTTTAGGTAAAATACAAAAAAGCTGCTTAAAAATCACCAAAACACAAAGAAAATGTGACTATACTGACTCACATTTGTCCTGAGTGCAGAATAATTTTCCTTAAGTACACACTCGTTCACTCAAAATTTAATTATTACCATCTAGGTGTGTGTAAAAATATCGAAATATTGATTTATCGTATCATTTAATGTGATGATACGGTATCGATATCGTGGGCTGCTGCATCGATATTGGCAAGAGTATTTTTTTGGTGTATTTTACTCAAGTATTTTGTTAAAGCGCTAAGGTTTTGTTGCTTGGTCAGTGGAAGGAAACTTGTTTATGCGACACATTTTTTTTTACATTTTCGCTGTTTTGAGGATTAAAATGTTTGTGTTTCGTATGAACTTTGTACAAAAAGTGGTTTAATGAAGACTTTTAGTGTCACAGCCATGATTTAGCCTTTATTTTTTATAGAACTGTATCGAATCGTTTTGAAGTATATCGAATTGAAAGTGCACTGTATCGAGGTTTGTATTGTATCGGCAACTTCTTAACGATACCCAATCTTAGTAAAAGGTATAAATTGTCATTTGTTTAGGTAAAATACAGAAAAGCTGCTTAAAAATGACCAAAACACAAAGAAAATGTGACTATACTGACTCACATTTGTCCTGAGTGCAGAATAATTTTCCTTAAGTACACACTAGTTTCACATTTTTAATATTACCGTCTAGAGGTGAGCAGAAATATCGAAATATTAATATATCGTATCATTTAATGTGATGATACGGTATCGATATCGTGGGCTGCTGCATCAATATATTGGCAAGAGTATTTTTTTGGTATATTTTACTCAGTTATTTTGTTTCAGAGCTACAGTTTTGTTGCTTATTCAGAGGAAGGAAACTCGTTTATGCGACACATTTGACATTTTCACTGTTTTGATGATTAAAATGTTTGTGTTTCATATGAACTTTGTACAAAAAATGGTTTAATGAAGACTTTTAGTATCACAGCCATGATATTGTTTATCAAATCGTATTAAATCGAAAGTGCACTGTATGGAGATATGTATCGTATTGACAACTTCTTAACGATACCCAGCCCTCTGTGTGCAAAAACACGGAAATATTGATACATCGTATTGTTTAATGTGATGATACGGTATCTATATCGTGGGCTGCTGTATCGATGTATCTCCAAGAGGATTTTTTTGGTATATTTTACAAAATAATTTTGTTACAGCACTAAAGTTTTGTTGCTTGTTTAGAGGAAGGAAACTCGCTTATGCGACACATTTGACATTTTCACTGTTTTGATGATTAACATTTTTGTTTTTCATATGAACTTTGCACAAAAAGTAGTTTAAGAAAGACTTTTAGTATCACAGCCATGATTTAGCCTTTATTTTTTATTGAACCGTATGAAATCATTTTGAAATATATCGAATCGAAAGTGTACTGTATCGATGTATGTATCGTATCGGCAACTTCTTAATGATATTCAACCCTAGTAAAGAGAGGCATAAATTGTCATTTGTTCAGGTAAAATACAGAAAAGCTGCTTAAAAATGACAAAAACACAAAGAAAATGTGACTCTACTGACTCTCATTAGTGCCGAAAGCAGAACAATTTTCCTTAATTACTCACTTGTTTCACAATTTTATAAATCTGTTCTCCAGGTCTGTAGATCTGAGAGACTGTTTTCTTTAGAGGAGAAAAGTAAAATGCTATCAAATTTGGAAAGGTGGAGTAGAATCACATTTAGATCTTTTATTGTGAAAGTTTTTTTTTGTGTAAATGTCATGATGCTGACGTTCCTCTGTTCTCCAGCTGGAGCCCTACATGGACGAGAAGTTCATCATCAGGGCGTTTGCGACGATGGGCGAGACTGTGGTCAACGTACGCATCATCCGCCACAAGATGACCGGGTGAGTCCTAACCGCCGGACTCGAGTCACTCTCAGGGTTGACAGATTTTCAGAGAGCAACAAGCAACCAAGTGTTTAAAAAATCCCCACAAAAAGAACTATGTGATAGTTAAACATTGTGTGTCACTTAGACTTAGACAAACTACATTATAACTCTTTTAATAAACATTGGAGGATTATCAAGTGTAAACTGTGACCTGACTCACAGAACTGGGCCTGTAGTTTCTGTTTATGTCCTAACCTTGACCCTTGACCCCTGTTGTGTGCCAGGGGAGCTCTGGGGTACTGTTTTGTGGAGATGACGGACGAGGGCACAGCCGAGAGGTGTCTGCGCAAGATCAATGGAAAACCCCTCCCCGGAGCCAACCCGGTCAGTTTATTTACACCGTGTTTATTATTTTGTCTTTTTTTATTTAGGGCTGCAACAAACTGTCATTTTATTTATAGATGTTTTTTAGTCCCCTGTGTTATTTGTATAACACACTGTATTATTTTTTCCTTTCTTTTTGTCCTCGTAAAAAGCCATATTTTTTTGGATACAGACGTGTGTCTCTGATTGTCTAATCCACCTGTCAATCACATCCATCTGAACTCTGTCTTTGTTATAAAAACATCTTTTGTCGTTTGGTTTGAGTTCATACAGTCAATAAAGGCCATTTACGTTGATCAAAATACGACTATGATTGTTTTTTATAGTCGATTTATTGTTGCAGCCCTAATGTAATACACATATTTTTGTCAGTTTTACTAAAGACAAATAAAACTACGCCTTTATTTTCTTTTTCCAGCCAACAAGGTTTAAGTTGAACAGAGCCACTTTCGGAAAGCAAGACACCGGGTGAGATTTAAGATTTAAGAATTTGCTACAATCATATTTTTTAACCCACAGGGTAAAAATGTACATCATCTTAAAATTTAGTGCCCCACTAATGAAAATACAGCTGGTAGGAGACCATTCCAAGTACTTCCCCAAGGGCTTTAGAAGTTAAGGATATTATGCTGAATAATTTAAATGTGATTCAACTGTCTCTTATCATAGTAAATGTGTAATATAAATGTAAAATTTTGTGCAATGATTTATGGTTTATAGGGATCTAAATAAACCCTATCTAAAGCTGCAGTTGTTGTTGCCTTTATCTGGGCTTAATTTTGTGCAAAAACTAAAAGGAGTCGCTTTCTGCCATTTTCATTTTGTAAAAGTAGCTCACTGGGGAAAGGTTGGAGACTCCTGGCCTACGAGATAATATCAAGATGAATTACATTTAAAATTAAAAAAAATATATAGATGTTTTCTTGTTAACCTTTATGTTTAATGCAATACTTGAACCACAACCAATCCACTGACAGGCACATTTCTGATTGCAAAAATACTAAATAAATAAATTTTAAGAAATATCTAATGTACTTGTGTCTGTGTGTCTAGGCCCATGTTCTCTCTGTTTGTGGGAGATCTGACCCCAGAGGTGGACGATGGGATGTTGTACGAGTTCTTCTATAATCGTTACCCCCAGTGCAGAGGAGGGAAGGTGGTGCTGGACCATCTGGGAAACTCCAAGTCAGTCCTGCTCTTTTCTGTTCACAGCTGTGGCTCACTCCTGTAATATCAACTGCATGTGACAAGTTAGGCTGCCCGCTTCACCAAAACACAGGGGTTTCTGGATTTAGTCATTTTGGATAGGTTCATACTTTTTGTGGCTGGACATGTGCCCCAAACATGATGTAAAGTTAATTAAATAACTGTTGCCTATAGCAAGAATACAGTAGTTTTTGACAAATATATATATATATATATATATTACTTTTATTTAACTTTAAGTGTCTGAAAATTTTTTCTGTGCGTAAACTGGTCATTAGAAAAAAAGTTTTAAAACCTGTCATGTATTTCAAATCTGAAAACATCTTGACTAAGTTCCTCTCTCGTGAACTTTCCAGGGGCTGTGGGTTCGTGCAGTTCCCAGACGAGCGGCTGCAGAAGCGGGCGCTGGACGAGTGTCAGGGGGCCGTGGGTCTGGGGGGTAAACCTCTCAGACTGAGCCTCGCTGCAAACAAGTAAGAGCATTACTACAGCAGTACTACAGCAGTACTACGTCAAAGGGCCTGTACCTGATTTCATTTATTTGAACAAAAGTTGTATTGATAATTATTAGGAGTGTAACGGTACATGCCGAACCATTTAAGTACGGGACGTTCGGTTCGCTGCAGGTCTGTGCACGAATGAGTTTGCGCAATTTGTGTGTGTTTACATTTGGCCTCTACATGTGCAGCTACACGGAGGCTTGGCTCTTTAATATTCATGAGGAAACACGTCTGTGATTGGGGCAACAGTGTTTCCCGCAGTATTCCCCTAACTTATAGTTAGGGCGGCCACCTTGACTACGTCCCTCCGAACCACGAGAATTCTCACAAAACTACAGTTGTCACACAGCAGTCCTCACTTATGCTTTTTGCTGGCACGAAATCTCCACCTGCGACCTCTATTATTTTCAGCCGCTGGAGACTTTGTGACTGCAGCAGATCTGCACTTACTTCAGACAATGTGGACAAGTTGTTTTTTCTGACTAAAAATCTGAAGATTGAGTAAAACTTCATGCTGGAACTGTTAGTGCTGCTCTTTACTTTATGAAAAGTTTTGTTTACTGTTTTCAAGGAATTTATTATTAGAATTTATTTTTTATAATATTTCATACATTAGTTTTTTATATTTTTTTCATACATATTTTATTCAACTTATTAATATTACCAAGCTGCACTTTGCATTTATTTTATTTTCCCGTTTGTATAATGTTAAAACAAATTGATAGTAAAAATAAAAACACAAATGGTTTTGTATTTTGTTCCCATATGCACCAAAAATTAACCGAACGGAGACCTCAAAACCGAGATACGTACCGAAACGTCATTTTTGTGTCCCGTTACACCCCTACTAATTATAGTGTTTTATTGTTATTGTTGTCAGCATTACAGTGACAGCTTCTGAAAAGTTGTGAAAAGAGCTTATAAACACATTTATAAACTCAATCATTAGGATGGTTTGAATGCATATGGTAAATGAGGAATAAATTTGGACCACTGCAAACCCTTTAAAATTAACTTGTTTTTCCACATTTTAAGATGATAAAAATCAGGTACAGTGCCTTTAACTGTTTCATTCTGCTATTTTTAACACATCACTTTAAGAATAGTTTTTCATGAGTTTAGGGTTAATCTATCAGTGGCATCATTTCAGTTCAGTATTATCGTCTCTTGTGTGTCATCGGCCTGTGATTCAGTGACTTTACTTTTGGTATTTTCAGTTTAAAGAACAAACCCCAGACCACCTCCACCACCCAGAGCGACACCAAAACCTGGAGCACCTCCACCTACAGCCAGGGCTACGACCCCTACGGCCAGTACAGCACCTACGGCTACGGATACCCCGCCTCCTCCTGGAACTACGACCAGAACGCCTTCGGATACTACCCCGGATACGACTACTCGCAGTACATGGCCATGCAGGTAAAGAGGGGAGGGGCAGGTGCAGGTGAAGGGGCAGGTGCTGAGGGGAGGGGGCAGGCTTCTGTGACATAGTTTATATCCATCAATTATCACATAATAAATCCACTGCAATAGACTCCAGAATATTCTCTCTTAAAATGCGGGTGGTTCTGGAATATGTTTTTTGTTCACGATGGTTTAAAAAAAATTATTAAAACTGAACATAAAACTTGATCAGACTGTAAACATTACTTAAATAAATTTGAAAATATTGGATGTGATTCTACTGGGAAAGTGTCATGATCACAAATCCAAATAACAAAAATCAATGCCTTCTTTTAAATCCTTTCTGCTGTTTTGACACCTTAATTATTTTAACAGCCGAAAATTTCAATCCATGTCGAAAAATGCATAAAATGTTACAGCTGGGCCTGTTTCTGAAAAGATGTATAACCCTGAAATCAGCTAAAGTCTGTGTTTTCTGTTTCATAAAGAGAGTTTAAATAACCCAGACTCAGAGACTAACAAAGGCTTTAGTCGAACTCTGAAATATAAATATTGTTGCGTGTTGATATTTGCATTAAAAAACTAAGTTGGGGCATTAAATTTGAAGTAGTAGTAAAAGTCCAGAGGCTGACTCTTGTGTGTTTCAGGAGGGAGAGACGGCCGAGGAGGAGGCCGCTGTCCCAGAGGATGACGGGACTGAAGGTGAGTGTGCAGCTTTAATTTGTATTTTTAATTTTATTTTTTTTATTTTTGCATTTAAACAGGAATAACAGTGGCTATAATGTCTCTCAAACACTTCACATCCAAGCAGGAGATTTAAACAAAGGCCAAAGGAAGTATGAAACGGCACTACATCATTATTATCACAAAAGAGGACGTGAACATAAATAGTTATTTAAAAAAAAAAGTCTAGAACTGCAGAGAACACTGAGCCACCAGAGGGCGCTATTTAAGACATGAAAATAAAAATGAAAATGGGGGTCACATCTACCCTCTATCTCTCACTTATGAATTTATTTGTAATATTTTGATGAATTGCACATCCCTAGTCTGTGTTTTGGTTCACCAAGATGATAATCCAATAAGAGGTACGGTAGCATAAACAACAGAACAGAACAAGTTTAACAAACTCTTCATCTCACTCCAAATCACAAATCCATTAAATTCTTCGTCCTCGGTGTCACTTCTGAGAAACTTGGCTTCGACCTTCGGAGGTAAACGACAGCTTCTGTGTCGCTGTCGTCAGACTCAGCATCAGTTCCAGTTAGAATTATTCAGGTCTTTCTGAATCCCGACAGGATGGTTTCGGTGTCACTGAAGTCCAGGCTTTGTCCATCCTTCAGGAAAGTTTCATGGTGCATCCTCCCGGTGTCACAAGTTTCTCTCTCACTCCAAACTTTTTTTCTGCTGCTCGATTATCGTTTTCAGCTGAATATTTCATTACTTTCAGCTTGCAGTTTGTTACCATTGTAAATTTTCAGTGGTACAGAAATAATGCTGTGATCAACTGACATGATACAGACAGGACAGAGGCTCTTTCTGCAGGAGACATGCGCAGTAGAGCCAAGTGTCAGTGGTGCAGGAGGAACAGGAGCAGCAGATCCTCACATACTAGACTAGAACCTCTCCACACTTCACTGTCAACATTTAATATATATAAGTCGCACCAGAGTATAAGCCACAGGAAACCGAACCCGAACCGTGAAAAAAGTGCGACTTATAGTCTGAAAAATATCAATATCAAATATATAAGATCCTACGACTAAAACCAAGTCCACTCTTTTGCATCCAGAACAGCAGAATTAAAAAACAAATTATCTTTCATAATTGAACCCACCCACTCTTCAGCCCTGTCAGTTTGTTTGTGTTTGTTCCTGTTTCAGATCCAAACCCGGCTCTGGACATCGATGAGGAGAACCGCACGTGTATGGAGCAGAGTGAGGAGCTGTACGACGCTCTGGTCCAAACGCACTGGGTCCCAGAAGAATTCCAGCAGGAACAGGACTATCTGCTGTCGCTGGTGCCCGAGCCCATCACAGCCTGAGCACACGCAGGACTGCTCTGTGGACTGAAGGGGGCGCCAGAGGGAGACCGGACTGAGGGACTGGACTAAGGGACTGGACTAAGGGACTGGACTGAGAGACCAGACTGAGACCAGACTTGAGACCACCTCTATGGACTGAAGGGGGCGCCAGAGGGGATTCCAGACTGAACGACCTGACCAGCCTTGAGACCTTGAGAGACCGGCCTTGAGAGACCAACTCAGTGGACTGTAGGGAGGGCTAGACTGAGACCGGCCTTGAGAGACCGGCCTTGAGAGACCGGCCTTGAGAGACCGGCCTTGAGAGACCGGCCTTGAGAGACCGGCCTTGAGAGACCGGCCTTGAGAGACCGGCCTTGAGAGACCGGACTTGAGAGACCGGACTTGAGAGACCGGACTTGAGAGACCGGACTTGAGAGACTGGACTTGAGTTGAGATTCGCTCTGTGGATTGTAGGGGAGGCCAGATTTGAGACCAGACCAGACTTTTCAGACCAGACTTTTCAGACCGGACTTTTCAGACCGGACTTTTCAGACGACTTTTCAGACCAGACTTTTCAGACCAGACTTTTCAGACCAGACTTTTCAGACACCAGACTTGAGAGACACCAGACTTGAGAGACACCAGACTTGAGAGACACCAGACTTGAGAGACACCAGACTTGAGAGACACCAGACTTGAGAGACCCAGACTTGAGAGACCCAGACTTGAGAGACACCAGACTTGAGAGACACCAGACTTGAGAGACACCAGACTTGAGAGACTTGAGAGACCAGACTTGAGAGACACCAGACTTGAGAGACACCAGACTTGAGAGACACCAGACTTGAGAGACCAGACTTGAGAGACCAGACTTGAGAGACCAGACTTGAGAGACCAGACTTGAGAGACCAGAGCCAAAGGGAGGGGGTTCTAGTTTTGTATCCACATGTAAATAAACTGCTTTTTATAAACGACCTGCTTAAAGTGCACATGACAGGATATAATACACTTTTCTTTAATATAGTTCCTTTCAAATAGACATTTAAACTGTTTATAAATCGTTCCTGCATTTTGGACGGAACCTGGATTTTTTTCTATGTTTATTTTGCCACTCCTCGTCACAAACTGCTATTTAACCGATTAAGAAAAACTTGAAAAACTGTCATATCCACTTTAAGCTATTGTTTAATATTTTTGTTGGTAAATAGTGTAGATTTTTTGACGGGCGCCTCTGGCAAAGAACTTATTTTTAATCAAAGGAGACGCTTCGAGTTGTAGATTTCAAGTTTCTCTTCGAGTGTCAAAACGACTTCTCTGACCTGAACTATTTTCTGTACATGTACAATTTTGCATTCCCAATGTGCTCAAATGTAAAAATACTTTGATATTAAAGGATCAGTCAATGCTACTGAAAATTACAGCACCTTGAGTGTAAAGAGATTCTGATTTTTATGGTCTTAAAAATTATGAAAAAAAAAAAAAAAAACAGAACTGATTTGTTTTAAACCATTTGCAGTGGTCTACCTGACTTACCTTCTGCATTCAGAACATCCTAATGTCACCACCACAATAAGTTTGGAAGTGCTTCTTACAACTTTCAGAGGCCAGAGCGAAGTCACAATAATTTAACAACTAGCATGCTAATAGTGCACTTCCTGATTACCTGATTATCAAATAATAAAAGACCAACTCTTTAATGTCTTGGAAAACCGATACTATAGGTTGGATTTATATTTTATATATATTGTCTTCTTACAGAAAAAATAATTTTGGATAAGCATTGTATTGACTGAGAGACGAGACCTGAGCAACTAGACTGAGAGACCAGACTTGAGACCAGACTTGAGACCAGACTTGAGACCAGACTGTAGACTGAGAGATTATACCGAGAGACCAGACTGAGAAACCACACTGAGAAACTAGACCTGAGACTAGACCTGAGAGATCAGACTCGAGAGCCCAGACTCAAGAGACCAGACCGAGAGACAAACCTGAGACTAGACTTGAGAAATCAGACTTAAGACTACATTGAAAGACCAGACCTTAGACTAGACTGAGAGTTTAGACCTGAGACCAGACCGAGAGATCGGACTTGAGAAACCAGACTGAGAGACCAGACTTGAGAAACCAGACTTGAGAAACCAGACTTGAGAAACCAGACTTGAGAGACCAGACCTTGAGACCAGACCCTGAGACCAAACTTGAGACACTAGACCTGAGACTAGACCAGAGTTATCCAAAGTTATTCCTCACTTACCTTATGCATCCTAACTTTTCATCACAATGAGTTTATAAGCATTTTTCACAACTTTCAGAGGCCAGAGCGGAGCCACGACAATTCAACAACTAACATGCTAAAAATGCACTTCCTGATTACCTGATTATCAAATAATAAAAGACCAACTCTTTAATGTCTTGGAAAACCGATACTATAGGTTGGATTTATATGATATCGTAACATTCTTATAGTTAAATTCTCAGGTGGACTTTTCTGTTTAACTGTCAGATGCAGGTTTATTGATCTAGTTTATGGTTAATTTCTCTGTAATTACTGGGCCTATTCACATGAAACAAAAACTGGTACAAACTTTGACGTCTTTTCTGTCAGTATAGTTTTGTTTGTTTCCCTATAGCTTCAGAAAGTGGTGCCATTTTTTCATTCATTATCAGTTATAGGACTTTAAACCATAAGATAAAAATGACAAGTTTGTGGAGACGATCTCAAACTAATAATGAGAAGGATTATGACTGTAGATATTTCTACAGTTAAATTCTAAATTCTGAAGCTAACTGCAGTACCACAAACCACCACTGGATGGAGCCTAAACCTTGATTTTCTGGTACAAACAGTCCCTGTAGAACTAAAAATTGTGCTTTAAATAAACAGCTGGACAAATTTTGGCTCAGACTTCACAGCAAGAAGGTTCTGGGTTTGATCCCCGGTTCACTCTGGGTCTTTCTGTGCAGAGTTTTCATGTTCTCCCTTCTTCTGAGAATTTCCCACATTTACCCAATTCATGCACCATAGCTCAGATCCTCCAGCTGTGACCAACTGTCGTGACCAAGACCAGCATAAGATCTGGAGGCGGATCCCACTGCCACTGATGAGACGTCTCAGAGACACTGAAGGACGGGTCAAACGCAGAGGGTGCATTTCCCTACAGGTATTATAAAGAGTAAACTCCAGCATTCTGTTAAGTTCTCATTAGGCTATTCTGATTATTTCTGAACGTCTGTGCCTTTTGTTTAAAAGAGACGACAATAAATGCACTGACCGGATTCTGAATGTTAAAAAACTATAATCCCAAACCATAAGGTGAGTGGAAAGGGTTAACATTTCATATTTATCCTTAAAAGTCTGATCAATTCTACACATGGAGGTGCTGTAAAGTCATGGAAAATTCACTTTAGGTCATGAAAAAGTCATGGAAAAGTTTTGAAATTTTGTCAGTGAAAAAGAGTGGGAAACCTAAGTGAAACGAGTGCGTAATTAAGCAAAATTGTTCTACACTCGGCACTAATATGAGTCGGTATAGTCACATTTTCTTCGTGTTTGTCATTTTTAAGCAGCTTTTCTGTATTTTACCTAAACAAATGTAAATGTATGCCTCTTTTTACTGTTGGCAGGGATCAGATTAGTCAAAAATAGGGACACTTGGGACATTTCTTGTATAAAACTGTGACAAATCACTGGTTTTGGATCAATCTGCTGGGACTGTCTATGTGCGTGACTATGTGCGTGTTTTATTTGTTTGTTTTGTATTTAGCGTATAGAGATTTCTGCCACTGGGCCTTTTAATACTTAGACAGTAAATATTATACACAGTGTGGCTCAGAGGAGGGGGGAGGGTTTGACCTGTGGATTAAAAATGACAGAATCCTCTTAGGTTATGGGAATATGAGCAGATATATGACCTGGCAACAAAAACAATGTGTGTAATGTAGAGGCTTAATATGTTCTAGTCATATATTTAATAAGGATGTAATGATATCGAAGTCCCTCGATATGATATTTTCACGATATTGCATCTTACAGTTCAATATTTATCGAAGAGGCTAATGCAATCGTGAATATGCTCCTTCTTCCTTTTAAAAACCTTGAAAAGTCTTTTGTGCTGTTATAATATGAAGAATTAAGATTTAAAAGTGCTTAATAACAGCTATTTCTTCATGTAGTCTGCACTGACAACACCAAAGGATCATGATTTTTGTCAGAGGTACTCAATTGGTGAATTCTGATCTGGATCCAGAACCAAACACAATGACATCCGGACTGAGACAAAAATCTCTCTCTCCAGCCTTTTTTCATAGCGTTCCGGATCCACGCGATATGTCATGGGCATGTGCTTTTTGGATGTGTTTCCATATAAAAAAAAATGCGTAATGAAGAACAAAAAAACATATATAAGTCGCACTTTTGGGGGGAAATATATTTTATAAAATCAGAGACCAGGAACCAACATTTCCTGTTGAAAGTCAAGTTCTAGTAAAAACAACAGGACAGAGAACAACAGACTGTTAACGTCACATATGAACAGTTCTTCAGATAAACTATAACATAAACAACAGAACAGAACAAGTTTAACAAAACTCTCCATCTCACTCCAAATCACTAAATCCATTCAATTCTTCATCCTCGGTGTCACTTCTGAACAACTCCACGACCTCCGGAGGTAAACAGAGCGCCGCTTCCTCTTCTGTGTCGCTGTCGTCAGACTCAGGATCAGTTCCAGTTAGTATTATTCCGGTCTTTCTGAATCCCGACAGGATAGTTTCGGTGTCACTGAAGTCCAGACTTTGTCCATCCACTTCAGGAAAGTTTCATGGTGCATCCTCCCGATTCCCTTGAAGCTGTGTTCTCCATTCTCGCCTTTCGTCACTCCCTCATAAGGTTCTTGGTCACTTTAAACTTTCTTTCTGCTGCTCGATTATTGTTTTAAATTTTTGCAGCTGCTGCTCTTTCTGCAGGAGACATGCGCAGTAGAGCCAAGTGTCAGTGTCGCAGGAGGAACAGGAGCAGAGATACTCACACACAAGACTAGAGCCTTTCTCATATTTAGTATTTATCTATGTAGTCGTGTATTTAGTACTTTGTGCGTAGTTCAAATGTTGCATGTGGATTTACAACATTTTTTGTTAGAAGTTCTAAGTCTGGAAACACACCGTGACTTTTTCAGACCCTGGAAATACTGTAAATTTGATAAGTGGACTTTATGAGTTTGTAATTGAGTGTCCCTGCTATATACTATATAAAAATACTTTAAAACAAATATACTCTACTCTGTACTATAAAAAATACTTTAATACAAATATACTCTACTCTATACTATACAAAATACTTTAAAACAAATATACTCTACTCTGTACTATACAAAATACTTTAAAAAATATACTCTACTCTATACTATACAAAATACTTTAAAACAAATATACTCTACTCAATACTATACAAAATACTTTAAAACAAATATACTCTACTCTGTACTATAAAAAATACTTTAAAACAAATATACTCTACTGTGTACTATAAAAAATACTTTAAAACAAATATACTCTACTGAATACTATACAAAATACTTTAAAACAAATATACTCTACTCTGTACTATACAAAATACTTTAAAACAAATATACTCTACTCTGTACTATAAAAAATACTTTAAAACAAATATACTCTACTCTATACTATACAAAATATTTTAAAACAAATATACTCTACTCTATACTATACAAAATACTTTAAAACAAATATACTCTATACTATACAAAAATACTTTAAACCAAATATACTCTACTCTATACTATACAAAATACTTTAAAACAAATATACTCTACTCTATACTAAACAAAATACTTTAAAACAAATATACTCTACTCTGTACTATACAAAAATACTTTAAAACAAATGTACTCTATTCTGTACTATACAAAATTACTTTAAACCTACTGTATACTATACAAAAATACACTAAACGAAATATACTCTATTCTGTCATCTACAAAAATACTCTATACTTTAAACCAGATTAGTATTTTGAATTCAAGTGGTTTAGGCGGTAGATCAGTCGCCTCACAACTAAAAGGTGTGCAGTTAGATCCCAGCTTCAACTATACTATTCTGCGTACTGTTGTTGTGTCTTTGGGCATGACACTTCGCCCACTTTGCCTGTATATAAATGAGAGACTCGTGCTGATTTATCTTGTGGCTTAGAGAGGAAGAAGAGCTTGTTTGGATAATAGTTTCATCTTCAGTCTTTCCCAGAGCACAGAGTCTCCTGGTAAATATTGGCACAGCGAAGTCCGGGCGTCTGCTCACGAGGCATTAATTAAAACTCTCGCCAAGTTTTATCAATTCTCTTTTATTCAGCCAAATGTCACAACAACAGAGAGCTCGAGAGGGTCTGGAGGAGAGACAAGTCAACAA